GGACACAGGAGGCTGAGCGGGGTTTAGCCTCTCACAGTTCCCAGCACTCTGACCATCACGACTAAGCAGTGTGTAACAGGTGAGCACAGGGTTCTGAAATCTGCTGGTTCCTTGCAACAAGATGGCCATCCCTGAGGGGCCCTCTTTTGTTTTGCAGTACTGGGGATTGAACCTGGAGCTTTAAAACTGACCTACAACTCCAACCCTTCTATTTTTATTTTTGAGACAGCATTGCACTAAATTGCCAAGTTGCCCAGGCTGTCCTCAAACTCAGTCTTCCTGCCTCAGTCTCCAGAAGGCTGAGATTACAGGTATGTACCACCACACCGAACTCCTGAGCTCCTTCTTTATGAGAATGTTGGAGCTGTGGATTGCCCACTCTGAACAGTGACCAAGGTCTTGTAGGGGCTATTGGATTCCTCAATGGTCCTTGCATAGGTTGGGGGCTACCAGGAGCCAAAGCAGGAGGCTGACATGCTCTTCCTGTGGTGCTGCTTATGCAGATGAGCCTCTTCCAGACTGGGGGCCCTTTCTTCAGCCCAAGAACAGCCTCCCTTAGTGACATAGGGCCTGCAGCTCCCCATGGTGACATCTCAGCAGGTCCAGGGCAGTGGGGTAGGGGGTAGCTCAGTGATGAGGACACAGAAGACAAAAAGCTGCCATGAATATGGGAAAGGGTAGACAAAATCTTTGTCACCTGCAGTCCCAAACAGTGAAAACTGGACAGTTTTATATTGTTAGCACTTGGCATGGTGTGTCTGGGGCACAGAGGTAGGTGCCGTGACCATGGGAAATGTCGGTTATCGGGCAAGTTATTCAGTGTTGAACTAGAAGGGCATCATCAAGACTGTCAGCTTATTATTCTTGTAAGTCTCCACCTGCCTGTAGAGAAATGAACTAGGTCACTGCAAAATCAAACAAAAGGTAAATCGAGACAGGCCCAAGAGCAAGCTACTGTCCATAGGACCCACTTTAGAGCAGCACAGGAAGGGTCCAGTGGCCATGCTTAACTGGACCCATGTAGCTGGGGCCTCCATACACCAGGGAAGGAAGCAGCGGTGGGAGTCTAGCATCTGCAAGACAGCACTTCTAAGTGTCAGCCCCATTCCTTTCTCTCCAGGGGAAGAGATTCTTAAGGGTAGATGATATATAAGACAGTGAGGCCACCGGGCTGCACACATAGTTTTGGGTCAGAGAGAGCTTGGTACTATGTCCACTCTGGCTACCACACTTAACTTCTCAAAGCAGTGTAGCCAAGAGTTATCTTGGCTTCTGTTCCTCAGAGGTCTCTGGGAGTTCATTAAAAAAATCTAATGTACTTTTCAGTGAAAAGCAAAGCATAGCTAGGTCTTCGTGCCTGAGGAGGAATATCAGGTAGGAGCCAGAAGTGGCATGGATGTTCAGTTTGTGCATTCCGAATCTGTTACCAGGTCAGCATGCAGTCAGCAAATATGAATCAATTGTTATCCTTAACTTCATGACGCCGAGGGCAATGCCAGCCATCAGTGCCATTGACACAGCTGTTAATGACAGGATGGCTTTGTAGTTAAACACGAATGCCAGTAAATGTCTGAACTAAAAAACAAGAATAACATTGACTGAATAACATAGAGACGGGAAGGATGAATGCTTACTATTCAATATCCCATTCTCCCAGGGGAGTGGTTTGTAGGTTCTTGAAACTACCCCACAGCTACCGTGCTACACGTTACTACTCAGCTCATCCTGTACGCTGCCTGCTAGGTCAGTCCCTTCATTCTCTCAGTGAAGCAGGGATCACCGTCTAGGCCAAGGCTTTGTGGCCAAGACAAGACAGTGACTGGGAGGCCTGGTCTCCCTGCTTGGGCACTGTAGGCAGGCCCTCATGGTGTGGCTGCCCTCACCAACCGCGGCTCCTGATGCCCCTTCAGCTCACTCTGGGCTTCTGCGCTCTCCCTGATGGAACTCTCCTTATTCCACTGCTCCAGCCTCTATTAGGCCTAGAACACCTTGGCTGCCTGCTGTTCATTAAGAAGTGTCACTAAGAAGTGTTCTGGAGATGAGCTTGGCATAGGCCAAGGCACTCAGGGCCCAGAGCAGTCCATCTTCCAAGTACTAGTGACATGGGCAATGAGCCTTCTCACATCATCCTTGGGGATGAGTATCTAGAGCTACCGATTCGGCTGAGTTTCTAATGCCTTCAGGTGGTGAGTCAGTGTCCACAGCAGAGTCTGCGGCAGAAACATGCACGTCTCCTGGCTGACATGAAGAGTCATAAAGGGGAGGGAATGAGGCTCCTCGGCAATGAGAATGGAAGCGCACCCAGATTGGCCTGGGTTGTTCCATGAGCCCCAGGAGAGAGAGTTTTAACCAAGTGGTGACTTTTGGGAGCGCATGGTAGGTGCAGTGGCCTTCTTTGAACCTCACTCTATGCATGCTTAAAAAAAAAAAAAGCCACATGCAGTGGCTTTTGCTCTGTTTCTCACCACAGGTGAGGCTTTGGCAAGGGTGGAGGTGAGGAGGAAGAAGTGGCAGTCCTCCGTCCCTCTGTGTGGACAGTTTCTGGCCAGGTTCCCGGGCCTGGGCACTCCCATGGTGTCACTCCAGCACTATAGCACTGAAGATCCCAAGGCATCTTCAGAGAAGGGCTAGGTGTCCTGCCTCTCCCGGGCCTGCTGCCTTGGCATGCCCTTGAGTAGCCCTTTCTTTGTACCTTTCAGAGCCTTGAGGACCATGTCCACTGTCTGCAGCTTTCTCTTTCCACTCTGATCCTCAGCCACAGTGTCTTATGTTTGAGCCCTTGCCAGTTTTCCTGTAAAGACAGGGGTTCCAATTTGGGACCTAAACTGCAATTCATTTCTCTTCTGTATTTCTGTACAACCAATTTCACAGGAAATACAGCATTTTCAATTTATCTTTATAAATCTTCTATATATTCTTTTTCAAAGAAGCTGGGAGATTTATCTCCATCGTGTGCATTCAGTGTTAGGGAGTATAGCAGGAAAATTGCAAATTGGAACCTAGTGTGGATTCCTTATTCACAGCTGCTAAGGGGAAACCTTTCTGCATACCAAGTGCTGTGAATCCTGTCAAGTCCAGATTGGCCAGCAGGACAGGCTGGGTCCCTGATCCCCTGTGACACTCAACTCTCCTCTGATTCTCCTGGGGTTCTGTTCCTGGCCTGGCTGATGCCTCACACATACACACTGACAGTACTTTCCTGAGCACTTGAGATACCCTCTGCATAGGTCCACAATCCATGCTCTGGGGACTTCTTTCCCTTCTCTCTCTCTGCTTTGTGGATGGGGCCACCATGGTTTTCCTGGTCTCTCTGCTTCATTTCCTTCTTTGGGGGGACCCTGGTCTCTGCCTGTTTCCCCTCCCTACTCCATGCTGGAAATGCTCTGAAAGCAAAAAGCTCACCAGTCCTAGGGCTCACTTCCTTGACTTCTTGGCTCACTTCCTTGACCTCTAGTTTTTCAGTTATCACTCTCAGTGACTGACAGCCAATTACATCTTTTCTGGGTTTTTTTGTTTGACTGCAGGCGGGAAGTTAAATTTGTCTCTTCATTCTGCTTTGGCCAGAATATTGTTAAGTAGCCAGTAATATTGTTAATATCTATTTTTTTTAGACTTGGCATCAAAGTTAAGGCATTGCATATCATGCTTTTGGTTCTTTTAGTTCTTTTAGTCTGAAACATTTCGCTACATTGTTCTGTGTCTTTCACGACATTAACACGTCTGACACGTCTGAGACACTTATCCTGTGGGCTGTCTTGTTTCCTCCTGAGTCAATGTAGGTTAAGCATTTTTGGGGAGAACATCACACAGCTGATCATCCTTCCTCCCTTCCTGACTTCAGCTATCCATTGATACTAAGTTTGTTTACTTGATTAGGGTGCTGTCTTCCAGAGTTTCTCATGGCAAAATGATTTTTATCTTTAATAATTGATAACCTGTGGGGTAATAATTTAAAATCAGTTAAGATCCTTCTTGAGTATTTTTTTTATCCAACCACACATCAGCCATAGCTCTGGTCTGAATCCAGTATTACATTCAGGATTATAAGATGATAATTTCCAACTCTAGCATTCCTTCTTCATTTCTTAGCTGCCATTATTCTTTTAACAAAACTTACCCCTTTTCCTTTTGAGGACCATTATGAATTCATAGGTTCTTCCTCACATTACCTCCCCGCTCTTCCCCTCCTTCTGACTTTCCTTCCTTCCTTCAGTACTTTTTGGTTCTGGGGATCAAACCTAGAGCCTCAAGCATGCCACGAATGCTTTCTGCCCCTGAGCTGTACCCAGCCCTTCTTAAATATGTCTGGATGATTAAAGTGTCCCTATATAGGCAATGAAATCTGTTTTTATTGAACAACACAATGTGAGTAAAACTAAGACGTTTCTAGGCCCAGAGAAAGGTCTAATATTTCCCACTCCTAAGAGCAATGGGGACAGGGCCTTACTAAGAGTCTGCACAGAAGTCTACCTTCTTCCTGTGCACACCCATCAGGAGTGAGACTTTCCAGTTGGGGAAAGGCTCCAGAAGGAAGTGACAGACTGTCCCCAGTGCCCATTTCTGACCTTTATTGTAGGCTTGGCCCACACACTGCCTGGCTTACCCTTCTGTGGGGCACCTCTGTCCTCCTCCCGAAGTAACGCAGTGTTCACGAGCCGCCCTTTGCCACTAGGTGCTCACCCAGCTGCAAGGCTGCGCCTCAAAGCTCCTTTCTGCACAGCCCTGGGGGCCTCGGGCTGTGTCTCCTGCCACTGCAGGAGCCCTTCTCCTAACTCACTTAACTTTGCCCTGCCCACAGGATTGGCCCTGGGTCACAGCAGAGCATCGTCCAAAGCTGGTGCTTAGCTTCCTCACAAAGTTTTATCAGTCATGATTTTAAGGGCAAAAACCAACCGTCATCATGAACCACCGCGCCTGCGTGGCTAACATTCAGTCAGCATTGAGGCTGCGCAGCTGACTCTCAGAAGGGACTGCGCCTGCTCAAAACAGCGCAGGGCCTTTAGAAAGGGCAAACTGCGGCACGGAGCCTGATGGGCCTGCGCGAAGCGGGCTGGTCTGTGTTCCTGTAGTCCAGCTACTCGGCCCAGGGTCATCCAGCCGGGTGCTTCCGGTCAGACGTGATTTCAGGGTAGAGTCTGAAGGTTGGCTTTACAGGATGGAGGGCACAGACATGTGAGCAGCAGCTGCCTTCTTCCTTCAGAGCTGACTGGAGGACAGAGGGGGCAGTCCCTGCCCAGGAGGATGTGGGAGATGATCTCTAAAGATGTTCTCCTTGGTTAAGAGTGTTTCCAGAGATTCAGATGCGCGGGTCAGACTGGGTGTGAGCTGTCTTTGCTTGCGCTGTCAGCGCAGCGGTGAGCACCCTGAGCAGCGCCCTCCTTCCCACCCCAGCTGCACAGCCCCAAGTGACCACCCAGCTGCACCGCCCAGCTGCGGCCACGAGAAGAACCAGCATGTATCGGAAGATCATGGCTGCTTGTGCGTGTGCACGTGCGCGAGCTGAGCCCTGTTAACCCCAGGGGCAGCGGGTGCACGGGGCTCCGGTCCTACTCTGCGGGGCTCCTTGGGCTAAATCGGGTGATGCTCACTGCTCTGCTGCAGGTATGGGCCACGGCCTGACAGAGGATCAGGTCGCCTCTGCGCCTGGTGACATCGAGGGAGGGACCCAAGTGAGCAACCTCAGCGACCTGCAGGTGGGTGTGTGGTTCTGTGCCGTGGAGGAGGATGGAGAGGCGGGTGGGGGGAACAGGCGGGCTCTGTCTTCCTGCTTCTGAGCTGCAGAGGTGCACCATGAGCTGCGTGTGTACCTGTGTGCCACAGTATGAGTTTGTGTGACCCCTTCACAGGTCCTTAAGATTCTAGCACTGAGGAGGGGAAGCAAAAGATTAACTTGTTCTCTCTGACTGGGCACCGCGTGCTGCACTGGGTGGAGTGGAGTCAGGGACTGAAAAGGCTCTGACCTCGCTGCTCAAGTACTGTACATCCCATGCCAATCCCTGTTGGTGGCCCAGGCTGTCCTCGGGGTCCTGGACATCCCTACCTCTACCCCTTGTAAACATTTGGATACTGTAAAACAAAATTTTGATTTGTAGGTAACACTTAACACAACTATTTACATAAAAGGGGTTATTTTGTGCAGTCTCACAAAATTAAATATGTGTGACAGTTCTACAGATTGATTGCAAAACTCACTTCCAGAAATTCAATATACTTAAGAAGGCTCTGAATCATTTTTCTGTTGCTACTTAGCGAAATGATTTTGCTTGCTTGCTATATAGTTTTCAAAAGAAAATTACTGTGTAGCCAGCGCTCTCAGATTTTGGTTGACCTAGCCAAGCATTGGAGTGAGAGCAGGAGGCTCACTGTCAATTCTAATTTGTCTACAAATATACTTACATGGCTCAAGGGGGGACAGAGAGGCAAAGCTCAATGGCCCAACACAAGTCCATCAAGTTGACTTTGTAGGCAAGTTCACAGTGCTGGAAGGGCTCACTGCCAGTGCACACACATTGGCTGCCAAACTGTGAGCAGGCAATGGATTACTAACTTAACTGTCCCATGAGATTTTGGTACTTTGATTACTGTACATTAATTCAGAAATGTGGGATACAATTCCAAGGTTGCTCCTCTGGTTATGACTGTGCCTCTTGTCTCTTTGACATTAAATTTTCCATATTAAAGGATTATTTTATGACAATAATCTAATTCTCCAAAATCAAAATAATGGCACATTTCTGCTTCAGGTCACGATGGGGTAGTAGCACCCTCTTGGCATAACCAACTAGAGCACATGGAAAACATGAGATATTTTCTAGAAAGTGGACAACTCAGTGTGCAGGATCCCATAGAGAAGGGAAATAAAAGTACTGCGCCTGGAATACTTTCATTGCCTGGAAGCAGTGTCCAAGCCACAGCACAGGAAGATAAATCAGGGGAAAATACTGGAGAGGAATGAGCTACAGGGGATGGGGGAGATACAGATCGCCAGAGCAGAACCTTCAAATCTTTGGCTGTCTGTATATCTGTATATGAAAAGCAGTTATCCAAGTGCAGGAAAAGAAAGTAGAATGCAGAACAGTTCTCTGAGCTCACACAGGACTGGAGACAGTTTGTGTCACACCATCCAGAGCAGAGAGAAATTGTGACACATGAGGTCCTAGGTAAAACTCAGAAGAAAATTACTTTAATAGTGGGCTGCTATCATAGTTCTAGGCACTGACTTAGTCTAAAAATGCATGGGAACATCCCTAACCCAGCTTAAAAACAAGACTTAAACATACTGATTTTAAATGATTTAACTAAGTGATAAAACAAAATTCAACACTGACAAAGAATACAAAAAAGTCTAGCATTCAAGAACAAAAAGTTCACTATGTCCTGTGTCCAAGAAAAGTTACTAAATGAGAAAAATTACTCAAGAGAAATGGAACCCAAGATCATAGAGGTGATAAAACTAGCAGAAGAGGATAACAAATAGTTACTGTAAAATCCCACAGATGTTCAGGGAGATGTAGGTAAACATGAGCATGTTGCAGTAAGAAATGGAATGGATACAGAGACCCAAATAGTCTTGCTAGAGATGAAAAGGGAACTATCTGAAATGCAAAATGGACTGGGTGAGATTAACAGCAGAGTAGATACCACACAAAAAGCGATTGCTATATCGGGTGGGTTTGGGGGTCTGGGGGGTCCCCGGACTCACCCTAGCCAAGTTTCTCTCCCTCCAACATATAAAGAAGAAGAGGAGCCAAAGAAGACCAGTGTAAAGCAAAACCTTCATTACAGGTGCTGCAAAAAGTATTGGTACAAAGCCCCTCCAGAGGAGTGGGGCCACCCAGAGCTGAGTCACTCCTGAATCTAGGATGATCTTCTTTTATGGGGGAAGGGTCCTGTCTCTACCTCCCTGAGAGTCTACACTTGCTTGGTTGGATATTGGGCTTGTTGCTAGGGGTTTGGTCTTGTGGACTAATAGGGGGATATAGGTAGGCATGGCAACCTGCACTAGCAGGGACAGTGGGACCTGCACAGAGCCAGGTGTCAGAGCCACAACCTGTCAGTTTCAAAATACAAAACTGCTTGCTGCTCATAGCTACACACAACTTGCGTTTTTACCCTCTAAAAAGAGCTGGAGTCTTAACTCTCCCCAGAGGTCCCTTCTGCCCCTATAAGATCCACAGACATGAATACAGCACAATAGAAACTACTCAAAATGAAATTGAAAAATAATGACAGGAACCCAGAGAATCAATGGTGTTAAGACAATATGGAGTGATGTAATCTACACATGTGGAATCCCAGGAGAGGAAGGCAGGGGAAAGAAAAAATACTGAAAGAGATAATGGATGTATTTCATGTTTTATGAATTTAACAAAAATCATAAGGCCTCAGATACAAGAAGGCCAAGCAAATAAACTCTAACAGAATAACAAGGCACACTCTAACCAAATGTCTGAAACATGACCACTAAGAAAAAAAATATCAGAACCCATCCCAATGGAAAATATTTTAAACAGAGAAAAGATAAGAATGACAAGACTTCTCATCAAAAGTTATTCTTGTTAGAATATGGTGGGACAACATTTTTAAAGTCTTGAAAGAAAAAAAAATCTGTCAAAAAGTCTTAATTCAGTAAAAATTTTATTAGAAATCCCCAAGAAATCATTAAAAAATGAAATGAAAAGGAACAACTATCATAAAAAGAAATCCATAAGAATTTAGAGAAAGAAAAAATGATGAAAGATGTAAGAAACAAATATAAAATGAATAGCAAGATGGTAGATTTAATCCCAGAGCCATTAATAATTACACTAAATGTCCTTGGTCTTACTGTGATCAGCCTCCCTGTGATGGTCTTTTCATGTGTCCACTGGTCTGGGCTACAGTTTGCCATGCCTCAATGCTGCTGTGACTTTAAGTAAAGAGATTCTCCAGGGTCATCTGGTTGGCCTCATTCAGTCAGTTGAAAGTTCTTAAGAGGAAGGCTGATGTGTCACTGATGAATTCCTGCCTATGGAACAAAGTGCCAGGCATGTCTGCGAACTCCAGTTTGCCCTCCTGATAACCAGCCCTGATTTCAGGCTTTCCTAGACAGTTTCCACATCACATAAGATAATTCCTAATGATCCATCACTTGAAACATATCTCCATTGGTTCTACTTCTGTGGTTGAACCCTGACTTATTTATCCACTAATTAAAGGCAGAACTGTTTTGAATAGTAAAAAAAAATAAGGTTCAATTATATGTTAATTAAAAAAAGCCATTTTATATATAAAGACACAGGTTAAAAGTAGAAATATATGTGCATATATGTATATATTTTACATACAACACACATATATAATTGCAAACGCTGATCAAAAGAAAGCTGGAGTGGTTATATTAATATCAGATAAAATAATTTTAGATGAAACACTATTCAAAGCAATAAACCAGGTAAATTTTATAATAATAAATGAATTAAGTTATCAAGAAGATATAATAATCTGTACCTGTATCTATCTAATAGCAAAACTTCAAGTTATATAAAGCAAATTGATAGAAATAAAAAGAAATTGGCAAATCTACAATTACAGTCATATTTCCAATTCTTTTAGAAAAATATGGAGCAAGTAGATAAACATCACTGAAGATATAGAAAACTTGAACAGAAGACCAAGAGGAAAATTAAAATGCCCTTTATGATAGCCTCAGAAGCACACACCATCCCTTCTGCCCAGTTCCACTGGGTCACAGAGCCAGTCCTGATTCAGGGTAGAAGATGCTATTCAAAGGTATGAATGCCAGAAGGTGTAACTCAGAGGTGACTACCTCAGGGCTGCTGTTGCAGAATAATAGGAGTGGAAATGTCATGGGAAGAGATATCACTACCTAAGATTATAAAGTGCTATACAGTAATATATGTTTAGTGCAAGGAAAGAAAAATAACCAATCTGATAGCTAATATTTTCCATTGGTTCTTTGGACTGAGAATCTGTTTGTTTTATTCATTACTGAGAGCCATTCTTTCTTTCTATAAATTATTTATATGGAAAAAATTCAAATATACACAAAACTTGAGTGAATGGTAAGATAAACATTCATGTACCATTACTTAGTGTTACAGCTTGTGTCTAGATGTCCCCCCAAAGCTTTATGAGCTAAGAGGTGTCTGGATTAGGGTTTTTAAGAGTATGATACTTGGGTTAAGGGTGTGATAGTGAGATTAAAGGTCTGAATATGGAAGCCCCTTCTTGGGTGTGGGTGGTACCAATAAATAGGTTTACAGCTTGTATGGAATATTAAAGAAAGAGGGAAGACATGCTGCTGCAGCTTGCTGCTTGCAGCTGTACTGTCTCCTGCCTGCCCTGCCATGGACTGTTTCTCCTCTGCAATGACCCTCTGCCATGCCATCCTGCTTTCGAGCCAGCTGACTATGGACTGAAGCCTCCACAAATCCTGAGCTGAAATAAACCTCTCCTCCTTTAACTTCTAGTGTCAGGTATTTTGTCTCAGCAGTGAGAAAAGTAAGACACTTAGGTTTAGTAATTGTTAATGACATTTATTACTTTCAGCACTATATGCACTTGTATTTGTATATGTATATAAATATGTATACATGCAACATGTTATGTTTGTCACCTGGAGTGGATCAGCCACAGAAGCAGACGTTACATGTCTGTATCTTCCTGACTGATGCTAGAGCTTAAAATCCACAGGACAAAGACTGGGAGGGGAAGGTCAGGTCAAGGGCAGGCTGGAACCCACTAGTATGAATTAGTGTAATGAAAGCAAAGAGAGCAGAGAGATTACCTGAGTAGGCTTTGTGTGAGCAACAAGGCTATTTGTTCCACTCAATTGCAAGCATGCTAAGTTTAAAAAGAGCCAAGAGTAAGGGGAGAGCAAAGAGTTTCAAGGGAAAGGTGGTTGCTAGGCATTGGTCTGAGGAGCTGTTGTCTTGAGGAGTCTGGAGGCAGAGATAGTGTGGTCACAGGCAGTGGTGCCAGTGCCAGTGTATTTGGATTCCCTGGAACCAAGGGTGTTGTAGCTGTACTCAGATTTCCTGGAATTGAGGGATTGGGACATGGTGCTCTGTAACGGTCCTTCCCACCAGCTGCAAAGGTCCTTCCTGCAATGGCCCTCCTTGCCAGATGTGAACACCTAGGATAGACAGATAGACAGATAGATGGCTGGTCTTCAGGGATGAGGGGAGCCTGAAGCTGACAGACCCTTGCCATTCTGGTTGCCTTCAGCTTTGATGAAGTTGGGGTCCTGCAAAATCCAGGGGCCTTTTTGCATGGAGCCAGTCTAGCAACTGGCTGCATGGGACCCTGGAGAGAGGCCACAGTTACAGGCCAGCTGCTTGCCCACACCAGTGAGGTAAGCCACCCATTCAGTAATAATGCACAAGAGCTACACATGGCTGGCATGTGGCATGCTCCTTCTGTCCTCACACTCATTCAAAAATGTGTTTTGTGTTTTAGAAACCCACAGAAGAGGGAATGCTGGGAAACATAGCTCAGCCTGGAGAAGTGGACTCATTGTAAAGCTACCATTCAAAATTAAGTTTTAGAGACTTTGTCACTGTGCCCCTAAGTACTTGAGCATTCATCTCAAAGGCCCATTTTTAAATGGCAGAGGAAGGTGTACCAGGGAATGTTCAGCATTCTTGTGTGGTGCGGATGTAAGGATTTGGAATTTTACTATCATTTAATGAATTATCTTCTTTTAAAATTTAAAAAAAATTCATCTGGCTGGGTCTGGCATCGAGTTTTGTTTTCCTCTATCAAACATAGAATTATATCATCCAAAGGATTTTGACAAATATTAAACTCAACTTTTTTCTTCTTTTTCAGGAGAAATCAGCAAGCAGAAAATTTGTAGTGAGGAACCAGATTTCCAACAAACAGCTTGGGCTTCAAAATGAGTCTTTTGACAAATTTTTTTTCTATCATTCTCAAGCTGTTATGACTAAATTTCCATCCCAGAGAAAGAAAGCATTCCAGATCTTTCTTGAAGATCTGCATTGGAGCTCTTATGAAATATCACTCCCTCCTGTTTTGTTTTCTTCTCTTGGCACTCCTTGAATAGCTATTGCTGGACAAAAGATGAACATTATTTAAAAATTTATGTATTATTTCTCATTAGAGTCAGAATATCCCCGTAGCTGCTGGCACTTGAGCTGAATTCGGAGCAACAGATGAGGAATTTGTAACCAAGCAAACCTCCCTAGCAACAGGTAATTAAAGTCAATTATAATTCTAAGACATTTATTCAGAATGTTTTTAATCCTGAAGAAAAATCCAACATGAAAAAACACATCCCAGAATTTCAAGGCACGTAAGTAGGCAACAAGTAACAACCACTCATGTTAGATGCCATTGTCCAAAAAGTGGGTGCATAATTTAAGTTTGAGAAAGACCTTTGCTTTCAGAATTCCATAAAAGCCAGCTCCTTGGAGAAGCCTACGTTGAGTGTCCAATGAAATTTGGCTGCTGTCCCAAATGGATTCTCCCTTAGTGGCAACTATATTCCAGGTGGCTTGGTTTCCAGATTAGTCCACAAAGGCTTATTTAATCTATACACATTCATTTATAGCTCTCACGATACTATGTCAGCTACATTTAGCTGCACTGTTCCATGGAAAATGCCTTGTGAATCGCACATTGAAATAACAGCCATGTGTCTTGCCTGAACCCTGAAGCCAGGACAGGCAATTGCAGTGGACTTCACTAACTAAAATAGAACTCTGGGTAAGCAGTTATCAAAGCATTCTTGAGGAGCTAGGAGTTTTCGGTTCATATAAGTTGATTATTTCTCTTGAAGTCCTACAGGAAAGGCAACTGCTGAACTTTTCTTTAACCCAATAGTTCCCAAAGATATTTGACTAGGGAATTATTTTTATCTATGAATAATCTATTTTTAAAAAGCACCTAGGCCAGTTGATGTTGCAAGAGGTTAGTGGTTAGTGTTCTGCAGAATGCACTCAAACACTGCACTGTTATAGTCACTTCCTAGAGAGAACTAAATCATTGGTTCTTATACTTCACTGCACATCAGTGTCATCTGAAATCTTTTTAACACCCAGCAGATGCCCTGGTGCTCAGGTTCTGATTTCCCTGGCATGGATGTGACCTTGACATTAGGACATTCTTACTGGCCACACATCTACATTGTTCCACAAGCTGGAGCTGTCTCTGCCTTGTAGCATTGGAGTTGCTGATTCAGAGACAGGCTGGTCCTGAGGGTGTCCAGCATTTGATGTCTAAGAGCTGTGAACCAGGACTTGGGCAGAATGATGCCTGGGTAGACTGGTGAGCCCAGTGATGGGACAAGGGGACGCTCACATGATCAAAGGCCACAGGCTGACAGTGGAACCGACTGGATATGCATAATCACCCTCAGAGCCTCCCCCACCCCAGTATGCACACCAGCAGAACAAGGTGTCCTGGGAGAGGTCACGGGAAGCTTAGCCAAGGAAAAATGCCAAGCCTACCACTGCTAAAGCCAGCACAGAACAGAACATAATGTTTCCTTTGCTTTTCCCCTATAACTTTTTTTTTTCTTTCGTGGTTGTGTGAGAGGATAGCTTCTCTGCACTCACACTAGTGGTGGTTTAAAGAACCCAAAACTACGTATATCATCTTTTGCTCTGTTCATAGAACAGTAACTCTGAAAATGTTAGTCCATTCTGCTGACATTTTTAAACATTATTTTGGTAGAGGGAAATAGATGATAAAGGTATGTGGCACGAAATTCAAAATACAGCAAATCCTATATAATGAAAAATGTCTGCCTCCTCTGTTTCCTTCAGCTACACAGTTCCTTCATTTGTAATTTTTGTTAGTGTAATTTCTACACACATACAACCAAACTGTTTTGGTCTCAACCCTATACTGTAATGTATTCATGGTGGTCTTTTCACTGTATTTTTTTTTCCATTGACCTTTCAATTGGTTGAACAGCATCCTGCAGTAATTTTTTCAAAAAGTATTCTTAAGGACTACATTTCCTAGGCTCTTGCAGTTCAAAGATGCTTTCTTCTGCCTCAGTGTGTGGTTCAGGGGCAGTAACATTCTTATGTACATGTGTTTTCTTTAGGACCTCATAGACCCTTTCCTCCTGACCTCAGGGACTTGCAAGATCCTGCAGGACTCAGAGCCAGATTGAAGAAGAGGTAATGTGATCTGTGGAGCTGCTGTCCAAAGGCTTTTTTTTTTGTCCCAGAAGTTCAGCAATCTTGCTCAGATGAGTCCGCCATGGACGGTTCTACGTTGATATTTTCCATGAGGGCGTGGGATGTTACCTTTCAATCTGAAGAGTCAAGCCTTCATTTCTGGGCATTATAATCAAATATATCTTCATTTTGTTTTGTTTTTTGTAGGAATGTTAGATTTTTAAAAAAATTGTCAGATAAAACTGTATATGTATCGCATATTATTTTTAAGTATACTCACATGTACATTGTAGAATAACTAAATTTCGCTACCAGCAAGTGCACAACCTCACAGAATTACACATTGTTCCTTTAGTGTATTTCAATAATACTATACATTGTTAACTTTAGTCACCATGTTGTACAACAGATCTCTTGAACTGTGCCCTGCTATCTTACTGATACATTATTTTCTTTTGCCAGTATCTCCCCAACCTCCTATCAGCCCTCTTTGAATACTGTTTCTTCAATTATTCTTCTGTTATTTTGTTATCTTCTTTGAAGACATCAATTGTTTGCTTGATTTCATTTATCTGTCTTGCTAATTTCTCACTTTCTCTCTGATTCTTTCATAACTCTTGCCTCATACTAAATTCATTTTTTCTGTCTTTCCCAACCCTACCATCCATAAATTTGTAATACATTTCCATAGCCACTCTGCCCTTTTGCACTGCCTCCAGTTTGACTTTCTTTCCTATAATTGCTTTATTTCTTATTCACTCCTTTCCATAATTCTCTTGGCTTATGCTATGTATCATTATGATCATGTCATCCCTGAGCTCTTATCAGTGAGCTCAGGCTTTATAAAGAACTCAGATTTTTTAATACAGGTCATCATTCCTTCATTAAGATATTTTTTAATTCTTAATAATAGGTTTGTTCATGTTGCTCATCGGATCTGTAGCGGTATTTTTGTGAGGCCTCTTTACTTCCTATTCTTATCTCATGTTACTTTTCATATATTGTTTTGAACAGATTTCTCTCTTCCCCTCCACTTCCCCTCTCCTCCCTGTCTCCCTCTCTCCCTCTCTGCCCTCCCCTTTCTCTCACCATTACCAGCTCCCTACCCACACACCACAAATGCTGCTGCTCCTACTGTCATGGACAAAACTACTCACAGGGTCTCTGCTACAATTTGGTAGGCAAGTAGGAAGGCAGCTTTGAACTCAGGATCAGACTATATGATTTCGAATCCATCAGTCACAATGCAGAAGTTTTAATTCAGAATTAACTCTTGTGTTTCTATGTTAGACTACTCAGAATTCTGAGGACAGGAATTTGATTACTTACCCCTTTAAACCTCAACAAAAATGTTTGTCCTGTTATCTACCATATTCCATCTAATAGCACTTAATAGATGCTCAACATGTAATTAAAGCAGTGTGGATATATATTCATCTGGAAGAATAACAGCCCACAAACACATGCACACACCACTGTGTCAGGGCCAGGCCACAGTAAATCTGTGCTGTCTGCTGTATGGCTGTTATTTTGCAGTCACCTACAATCTTAAGGTCTCACCATGCATTTCTAAAATATCACAAGAAGGAAATGACAGGAGAGTTTACTTTCTCTAGTCTAGCCTATTTTGACAGAGGGTAGCTTTACATTTCCAAAAGTGTAAGAACGCCAAGAAAGAACCAAACCTGCAGACTTGGTGAGGGTAGCTGTTCACCTACAAAAAGGATACTGCTTTTTTTTTTCTTCTCTCTCTAAAGCCTTCAGCTGGATAGCTCATTAGGCCCAGATGAGTTCTCTGCTCTCAGTGCCCACAGGTATAAGAGCCTGCCTTTCTGTCTCAGATGCCCACCCAGAGGCCCCTTCTGTCACCAGCCTACAGCTGGACCAGGCATAACCACCCATTCATAGTAGATCTTGCCACATCTGTGCCTTTGGCTGAAACACCAGCCCCTCCCCACATCCCATTACACCCATGGGAGATTTTGAAGGTGAAGATTCACTAAGTTATGCTTAGGTTACTGACCCATAGAAACTCTGAGCTATGGATGTGTTGTTTTAGGCTACTGACTTTGTGGTAGCTTGTTACACAGCATTGGATAACTGATACAGCACCACTTGGGAAAACTCTTCTTTCAGACTTCTGACTGGATTCATTTCCCAGGACTTCTAAAACAACCACAAACCAGATGACCTAAAACGAATGTATGAAATGTATTGTCTCAGAGACTTGCAGGCTAGGAGTCCAAAATCAACGTGTGGGCAGCGGGTGCTCACCCTGAAACCTGTTGGTAAAAACCTTCTTTTCTTCTTACCTTTGGTGGTTGATTCAATCCTTTGCACTCCCAGGATAAGAGCAAGGTCAGTCCAATCTCTCTGTATTTTCGCAGGGTTCCCTCTGTGTGTCTCTCTTCACAGGTCACCTTGTAAGGACACTGTAAGGACATGTAAAATTGGAGCCCACTCTACTCCGAAATGACCTCTTCTCAATTTAATGGCATCATCAGTAACTCTGTCTGAGCACAACTCTACATTCAGAGGCAACGGGTTTGAGCTTTACATGTCTTTTGGGAAGGTGGGAAGAGGAGGAAGGGGTGAAAAAGTAACCCATAACATGCCAAGGACACTTTTAACTAGCACGTGCTATATTCAGAGTTCAGGCAGGTTTGTGTGTTTTGTGAATCTTTCTGTAGAGTAAAGGTTTGTGTTACTCCCTACCCATGTGTTACTGATTAAATAGAAAGTGAAAAGTGAGGAGGAGAGGGCACATCCACTCCTTATAATATTTAGCAGCCACTCTCAAAACCCAGGGACACACAACTGTAGAATGAATGCTTCAGCCCCATCACCTCCATAATATTTCTGGTTGGCATGGTTATTGCTCAGTGGGGAAAAGTGGCAGAACATGAAAAGATGGCAGTCTGTTTTTACTACCAAACTGAGTAACTGAAGAACTGGGAAGATTATGAGTGGAGGAGATGACAAATGATTCAAGAAGAAATCAAATGTGTTATATAGTTTTCAGATGAGTGTTGTAATAACGGTTACAAGACCTAACAGTTAGCACTCCACAATTTACATTTATATTTCCTTCCTGGCAGTCAGTCACCCAAATACTACACAGTAGAACTGAGTGCTGTGACAAGGTTGAGGGTGCAAACATCTCAGGTGGGGGATTCAGACCTCCAGGCAGGGAGCCAGCAGGGCCTAGCCACGTTAAGTTGTGCTGCTCAGGGTCACTTACAGATACCTTGACAGGTTGCTTGGCTTGTAGGCTTGAGCCCTTCTTGTTTAATACACTGCACATAACAAGAGCAGCAAAAAGGTTGTGTTGATGGACGGAATCAGAGGAAGGATTTCTTAAGCCATGAAGAGGGGAAAGGAAGGAAAATGTCAGTATCAAAACATGAGTGTTACTGGCCAGTGCCTGGAGGCTCGAGTCAGTTTCAGAAGGGCTTCGGAAAGTCAGGCTGTGAAGACCTGGTCTCCCAAACAAACACTGCTGCTCGGCTTTATCTGTTTTCTCTGAACACTGAAGGTCCTCAGAGGGCACGGAGTGGGAGAGAACTCCAGGCCGCTCATCAGGAGACTGAGTGCCCTGCTCTTTGCTGTTGCTCTGCACAACCCATGACCTCAGACAAGCTTTTTAGCTTTGGCCAAATGGACTCTGGTTTCTTGTACTGAGTGAGATACATTGTACACGTAGAGAGCCACGCAGGTGGCACTTTTGTCATGGCAGGCATTGCTGAATGACAACCCACAGAGAGCAAGGTGGCCCTGGAAGTACAGGTATGGGCCAAGGCTGAGGTTTCCCTGAAATCAGTGGCTTTGATTCCATGTCTCCGGTTCCCTCAGCCCTGCCCTCTGCATGTGTTGACTTCGTATCCCAGTTTGTAGAGGAAGAGGAGGCCCTGAACCCACAGTACCCTGCAACAAACTCTTCATTGCTGGTTCCTGGCCAGTGGACTCAAGTGTCCATTTCCTTGGGTCTTCTAGTGATACCATGTGCAACTCAAGGACCAGTGACTATAAACCTCCAAAGTGATATTGGGTGTAAAAGTCACTCTTTCCTGTAATAATCCTACTGGGTTGGACCCTGCCTCCCTTTCACCCGTACTCAAGGCCCGGAAGTACAGGTGCAAAGAAAAGTAAGATGAATGGCTACTCTGTGTCAATCTCTGATTTCTGTGTGTATCTGTCTATCTGTGTGTGTACATCCATATGTGTGCATACGGGTACAGCATGTGTGTACTATGTATGTGTTTATGTTCCTCTTGTAGAATCACCAAGTATTACTCACTAGTTGTTTGCCAAAGCCATAAGGAATCTCTAATTTGACCGTACTAATTAACTTCTTTCTAGATTATACTTGAAAGTCATTTGCAGAGTTCGCATCAACATTACACGGATTTTTATTAGGAGTCGACAGCCCATACAGCTCTCATAAACTTGTAATTCAGATTTGTATGTCAGCACACTGACCAGTTGGGTAATAATTCTAAGCTTTCTTTTATTGTTTCTAATTATAAGCCTGTGTATCAAGATGGTTCATATAAAAATCAAATGTTTATGCAAATAAAAAATGAGGTAGAATCCTGGTACAGCTGAATCTAATGTAATTATGGCCTTGTGGTGGTTGTTTTTACAAGGTCTTGATTTGTGATCCCATCTATCATTGAGCAAAGTACTCAAAGTAGTCTAGACAATGTGGTTTGGATATATTTGCTTTCGTACTTGGAAATAGGCATGCAGATAACTTTCCAGTGGGCCATTTGAACATCAGCAGGAAAGAATCCTGGAAATCTTAGACTTTGCTTAGCCCACTGTCCTTGTGTGCAAAATATGTCACCGGGTTTAAGTGATGTTCACAAATATTCCCAAAGAAACAGTAATTAGATGATAGCAAGTTGACTGCCAGGTCTTCTGAACCAAGATGGCACAGTTTCACTGGCGCGTCCAGGCTGCCTTCTTCAGCACAAAGATGTTCAGAGACCTCTGGGGCTCCCATGAGTGCCCACAGCTTCTGCTGTCTTGTTATTAAGCATTAAAGAGTGAGGAGAGAGCTGACCCAAACCACTTTTGTCCATAGTCCTTCAAGATCATTTGCTAAATTTCAGGATTTGCTTTTACAGTTGAGACTAATAAAGGAAGCCACAAATACATGTATTTTTTGATACCGGAGATCAAACTCAGGACATTGCATTTGCGAGGCAGGTATGGTGCCACTCAGCTAAATCCCTGGCGCTAATCATATTTTTAATGCATACCTGGCACCCACGCTGAGGTAGTGAGCTAATTGTGAATGAAATATGTCAGATAAGTAAGCAGGACAGCCTAAGTACCGGGTTGTGCCTGGTTTTCAGGAGGTTGTTTTCTATGCTCACAAGAACAGCATTTGTAATCACTGTTATAAAAATGAGTCACAGAGTTATTATGTCTTGTACCAACTAGTATAAAATAATATTTACAGAATTATAGGCTTGCAATGACAGGCTTCATCTAAGAAGGGCATGTACAGTGCCAATGCAAAGGGTGTGTCTTTTGTCCCAGTAATTCCACCTCTAGGAAATCTTCCTAGTAGACATTCAAATATTCAAGGGCATTTAGGCTTTTTTATTTTCACTGTAGCTCAAATTTTAAATATTAAGCTGTTTACAAGAGAGAACAGATTGGCTTCCTCATACTACAGAACAGTGTGCTATGATTAGGACAAATGTTTACAAAATTATTAGGGTATTAGTATCTTATGACTGGCATAACAGACTACTACCAAGTGGGTGATTTAAACTATGTTCTGTTCACTTGGGAAGGCCAGAAGCACAGTCAAGATGTGACAGGGCCATGATCCTTCTGGAGATTCTGAGAAGAAACCCTTCCGTGTGTGAAAATTCTCTGGCACCATCCTCATATGCAGAATTTTCCAAAGAAATCAAGGTGAGTCTGCTGCCCAGGGTGTGGGCCTCAGCCAGACCGGGTTTGCAAAGGGGTCAAGGGGAAGAATCTTTGGAGAGGAGACTGGAGAAGAGATCTGCTGTGTGTGAGCCCACCCCTGGGGGAAAGGCTAGGGGATGGGAGGTTCAAGGGATACTGAAGACTTGTGACTGATTTGCAACTGAGATGGAGAAACTGAAGAGGACTGGAGTCCTGCTGCCAGTAGGAAATTGAGGGGAGAAGAGATGGGCTATCCCAGGGCCTTGGAGGCAGAACCAAGAGAGGGTGCTCTTAGGGGTTGGGGCCTGCCTGTCCTGGGTTTGTCAGGACAAGTGACACACGGCCGTTTCCTGGGACCAGACCTGGTTTAACAGAGAGAAAGCTGGTATATTAATTTCCCAGGGCTGCCATGACAAGGTACCTCAAACTGGGGGCTAAACAAGAGCAGCTATTTATTCTTTAGGCCAAAAATGTGAAATGAAGGTGCTGGCAGGTTGCTCCCTTCTGGAGTGTCCAAGCTGGCCTGTGTTCCATGACTCCAACCTACATCCCGGTGGCTCCAGCCATCCTTGCCATCTGTTGGTGTGTCAGCCTGGAAATCCAACCTCTGCTTCCATCCTCATGGTCCTCTTCTCTCTGTTCCTTAGTCTCTGGTTTCTTTTCTTCTAAGGACAGCAGTTGCTGGAGTGCAGCCCACTCTGATTCAGTATGACCTCATCTTAACTATCTGCAAAGATCTTGTTTGCCAAAAAATATGTCACACTGAGTTTTCGCACGGATATGAGTTATGGGGAGACACTGTTCAACCCAATACTAGATTGAGTCCATTGTGGCTGTGTGAAAGGATGAGAGACCAAGAGAAGGAAGGAGGCATGCAGGAAGATGGCTCAGAGGTGAGCACGTACTCAGAGGGATGTTGTGGGATGGGGCTGAGTTTGTTCAGGGCCAACCAAAGGCATCCCAGGAGGAGAAAGGAGCACAGTGCAGTTCTACAGAGCTCTGTATGGAAGCACCAGCTTTACTCTGCCAGGCTTAGGGTACCAATGGGCCCAGTCCACCAAAAACTGTCCAGACCCTTACCTCCACCTGCAAGGTGTAGATGAAAAATGGAATCAGGCCCCTTCCCTGTGGGAGGCTAAGCCCTAAATGCATCTGAGAAGAGGACCAGCGAATGTAGGGATGCACAGTTTAGAGTGCTGACTGTGTCACAGGAAGTCTGCTAATTTGCATCTACCAGCATGCACTACACATATGCCCCCGGCATGGCATCATCCTAGTTAAAAAAGTGAGCTTATTTTAGGGTTGAAGTTGACCACTGAGCTTGCCGTCACCTGAGCAGAGTCATGACCAGCCAGCATTTTTATTCTTTGTTTAAAGGAACATTTCCACATGAGAGTGTTTATAGAACAAAAGAAACAAGTATGTTTTATGAATTATTGGAGCATATTTTTTTCATCTAATGGTTCCTTTTTACAATGCATTTTGTTGACCCTCTGAGTATGTCAGTGCAGGAGCTACCTTGTAAAGTGCCGGACTGGAACTTTCCTGATCCAGTGCATGATCTGCAGTGGGAAGTAACGCCCTCCTCTGTTTTCTGAGGCACCAGAAATGTCAGGCTGGGTGATGTCTCCAGGACCCCTGGAGAAGGGGAAATAAGGAAGGGGAAATGGAGCAAAAAGAGGAGAGGAGAGGGCTGAAGCAGGCAGGTGGCTTTCACAGTCCTGCAGAGCTCTGCTTTGAAAGAAATAGCAACAGCCTTTCACAGGATGACACACCTTTTCCAATTTAACCGTGACCTAGTTACTGAAACCTGGCAAAAATACCATGCCTTGCTCTCGGCACTGCACACAGAGGGCCCTGGTAGTTCACGGAGCTGTGCTTAGCAAATCCTGCCACCTAGTGCCCTGGGCCCAGCATGTTCTATAGCAGCTGGGAGCCAGCCCAGAAAAATCAGCTTTGTTTTCCTCCCCCTCACCTCCTCCAGGCTGCTCACAAGGCCATTACCTGGTTCAGAGAAAAATAAGGCTCAGGTTTCTTACCTGTTCTTTTAGTTTGTTTGCCCTTCTGAAGTAGATTTCATTTGGCTTTTGAGAATGCCAATTTTCTGTTGAGTGCCAGCCGAGGGAGTGTCTATTTGGATATCAAAACAAAGAATGCCAGGGTCCCAAGCAAGGGGAAACTTGGAAGTACCCCTACTCCTGTCTAGTGTCACAAGCTAAAAGCCTCAGACCTTCAGTCTGGAGGGGAAGAAAGCAGACACACAAGAGGGAGAGTTTAACAGGGTCCTGTGGATTAAAGGAATTCCCTGTCTCCTCCTGCACAGGGTCTCTGCAGTAGTCTCAGAGGACCAAGTTTCCTGGATTGGCTTGGGAGCCACTAATGGATGTGGACAGATGGGCAGGTGGGCTGAAAAGTGAGCCTGCAGTTGTTTTATAGGAAGCAAATGGTCATAGCATCTGATAGCCAAAGAGGCCCATTGAGACAACAGGGTGGCTACATCCTCCCCACTGGTATCTGTTCAGAGAACTCTGCTTATTAATGTTTTCTTTTTTTCCCCCAAGGGGTGAGAACGCAGATTTCAGAGAGAAGTGAGTACTGATTTTGCCTCCTACCTGTGAGGAGATCTGTTTGCCTCACGCTATCCTCATTGGTAATGGGCACTGAGGTTATTTAAAGAATGAAACAATATAACACAGGCAGAGTGCCTGGGTGGGCTACAGCATTCAAGCTGCCTGCGTGGTTTGACTGTAGGTACCGTGTCAAACTGCATGATGCCACCCTCGGCCCCAAAGGAGCCCCCATCCTCATCCCCAAGTCTGTGCATATACAACAGTGTCTTCTAGGGCCGCCATAAACTAGCACAGACTTGATGACTCAAGCAACAGAAATCCATTTTCTTACCTACTTGGAGGCTGGAATTCCAGGATCAAGGTGTCAGCAGCTTAGGACCATTCTGAAACCTCTTTCCTTGGCTTGCAGGAAGCTGCCTTCTCACTGTGTCTTTCCAGTGTCTTTCCTCTGTTCATGTCTGTGTCCTAGTCTCTTCCTCTTCTTGTAGGGACACTGGCCATGTTGGGTTATAATCCTGTTTGTACATTAATTACCTCTGTAAAGGCCTATTTTCAAAACCAGTCTCAGTCTGAGAAACCAGGGATTGGAATTTCAATGGATGAGCTCTGGGGGAGCACAGTTCAGTTCGTAGCACATCCCTTCCACAGTAGCAGGGATTTGTCAAGTGTTGTCAAGGATCTTGAAGTGCAGGTGATCCTGGATTACCCAAGTGGATTCAGTGTAATCATGAGGGTTCCTGATATGAGGGAGGGAAAAGGGCAGGGCCAGCGTGAAGACCATGTGGTGAGGGAGGCAGAGTTTTGCATTTTGAGGAGGGAGATGGAGCCACAGGCCAGGAAGCGCAGGTGGCCAGAGAAGCTGGAAGCAGCAGGGGGACACATTGTCCTCCGCAGCCACCAGCAGGAAGGCAGCACTGCCAGCACCTTCACTCAGGCCCAAGAAGAGCATGTCAGATTTACATCCTCCAGAGCTGTAGGATCCGATGTTTGCATTGTGCTAAGGCACTGAGTTTGCTCCCTGTCCCCACACAGGCATAGCTTGGCATCACGCCACACTAAAGGGAAATATTTATCACAACCGATGGTCCACATTGACACGGCATCGTCCCCCAAAATCCATGGTTTACAATGAGGCCCATGCTTGATACTGTGCATTCTCAGTTTGAAGAAATATGCGAGGACATAAATCTACCGTTGTAATGCAACGTAGAGAAGTTTCACCACCCTGAAAAACCCCAGTGTTCTGTGTGCTACTCCCTCCCTCCCAAGAAAGTGAAAAGCGCTTACCATTCTCCAGGCTTCAGTTTTGCCCCTTCCAGAATGTCATCTAGTTGAAATCCCAGTGTACCTTTTCAGATGGGCTTCTTTCCTGCAGCAGCAGACATTTAAATTTTCTCCATGTCTTTCTTGGATTGAGGGCTCCTTTCTCTTTAGTGCTGAATAGTATTTCATTCCCCAGATGCACCCCAGTTTATCCAGTCTCCCACAAAGGGACCTTGGCTGCTTCCAACTTTGGACAGTTACGAATGAAGCTTCTGGAAATATCTGTGAGCAAATTTTTGAGTGACTGTGTTTTAGATTCATTTGGCTAAATCCTGAGGAATACAATTGCTGAACCACAAGGTAAGAGTATGTTTAGTTCTGTAAGGAACTTCCAGACTGTCATCCAGTGTGACTGTACCGTGGTGCATTCCCACAGCAATAGACTGAATTCCTGTTAGGCCCCTTCTCACCGTCAGTTGGCAGTTTTGGTTTCAGCCACTCTAGCAGATGTGCATTAGTATCTCGTTATTTTAATTTGCAATTCTTTAATGACTGACGATGTTGAATATTTTTCATATGTTTATTTGTCCACTGTATATCTGCTTCGGTGAGATCTGCATACATCTTGAAGTTGAGTAGTGTCTTCCCTGGCACTCTTCTTATCCTTCAACACTGAGTTATCTGTTTTGGATTATTTGTATCTCCCTGAAAACTAAAATCAGTATGGATCTCCACAAAATAACTTTCTGGGATTGTGTTGAATCTGGTTTACTGAGGAAAAACTGACATCTTGACAGTACTTTGATATCATTCACGAGAATGTTGTAGTTTTCCTTCAGTAGACCTTCTGTGCACTATATTAGATTTATACCTTTCCATTTTGGGGTGCTGATACCAGTGGTAATGTGTTTTTAGTTCCACTTCATGTTCATTCTTGGTATGGAGTCAGATGATTGGCTTTTGCACATCACCCTTGCTCTGTCATTTATCAATCTTCAGAGTCTTTTGTCAGTTCATTCAGATTTGCTTTTGTCTTCCATAAAAGGTTGTTCAGTAGCGTTCACCAGTGAACACATCTAGTAGGTTCCTATTTGGAAAGTTATTGATTCAGTTTCTTTAATAGACACAGACCTATTCACATTGTCTATTTCTTTATGTAAACTACACCATGTAAGGCATTGCTCTGTTTCATCTAGGTCATCAAATTTGTGGATGTAAAATTTTAATAGTATTCACTTATTATCCATGTGACGTGGGAGCTGTCACAATGTCCTGTCTTTCATTTCTGATACAGGCAACTGTGTCCTTTCGCTCTTTTACTTGTTGGCCTACCTGGAGGTGATCAATTTTATTGACCTTTTCCAAGAGCCAGTATTTGGCTTCATTGATTTTTCTCTGTTTATTTCCCATCTTTAATTTGATAATTTTTGCTTTACTCTTTATTATTTTTCTTCCATTTACTTGGGATTTAATTTGCTCTTCTTTTTCTGGTTTCTGAAGGTATAAGCTTAGATTATTGACTTAAAGTGTTTCCTCTCAATTTTATGTGCATTCATTACTTCTAGGGTTCCTCCTAAGCACTGCCTTCACTGCATGCAGCGAGCCTTGATACATTGTATTTTTATTTAGTTATAAATATTTTCTAAAATTACTCTTGAAATTTCTTCTTTGGGCCATATGCAATTGAGAAGCATGTCATTTAATCTTCAAGTATTTTGTCAGTTTCCAGATATCTTTCTGCTGTAGATATCTAGTTTAATTCCATTCTGGTGGCCTGAGAGTAAATGTGCAATTTCTGTGCTGCTTTAAATTTGTCAAGGTGTGTTTCATGGCCCAGAATTTGGTCTCTTTGGGTGATCATTGCGAAAGGGACGTGTAATCTGCAGTTATTGAACAAAGCAGCCTGTAGATGTCAATTATGTCCAGGTGATTGATGGCACTGTTGAATTCAACCATGTGCTTACTGATTTTCTGCCCACAGAATTTATATCTGATAGAGGGATATTAAAGCTTCTGATTACAATAATGGGTTCATCTGTTTCTCCTTGCATCCTATCAGTTTTTGCCTCTCAGAGCTTGAAGCTCTGTTGTTGGGAGCATACACATTAAGAAGTATTTTGTTTTCTTGGAGAACAGACCCCTTTATCATCAGTTCATTCCCCTCTTTATCCCTGATAACTTTCCCTGCTTGGAAGCCAGCTCCTCCTGAAGTTAATACAGCCATTCTTGCTTTCCTTTGATCAGTGTCAGCATGGTACAGCTTTCTCTGAGTCTTTTAATTTACATAGGTCCTTGTATTTAAAGTGGGTCTTTTTGTAGAGAAGATATATATTAGTTCTTGTTTTTTTAATCTACCCTGAAAATGTCTGTCTTTTAATTTGGTGTATTTACATAGTTGATGTTTAAATGGATTATTGATGTGGTTCGATTAGTATGTTTACTTTCATTATTGTTTTCTACCTGTTGCCCTTGTTTGTTGTTCCTATTTTTGTCTTCTACATTTTTTCTTCTTTTGGGGGGGGTTTCAGTTGAGCATTTTATATAATTCTATCTTCCTCCCTTATTTTTTGGTACCGGGAGTGAACTCGGAACCTTGTGCTTGCGAGGCAGGCGTCGGCGCCACTGGGCTAAATCCCTGGCCCTTTCCTCCTTTTCTTAGTGTATTTCTTTTTGTTACAATTTGCAGTGATTGCCCTAGAGCTTGCAGTATACATTTGTGACTAATCCTGCTTCCAAATAACACTTATTTCCTCACATATAAGGTAACACTTTAATACCTTTTAGTAATTGATTATGTATTATTATGATATAAAAGATTTTTGATTTCTCCCTCTTGTTTCTGTGTGATTGTTTCCATTCATTGTATTTTCACATAGGCATATAATATGTTAGAATGCATTGTCACTATTATTATTTGGAACTAATTGTTGTCTTTTAGACTAAATAAAAATGAGAAAAACATGTTTTCACCTCTTACTATTTCTTAACGCTCTCCAGGTCCTTATGCAGATCCAAGTTTCTGACCTATAATTTCCGTTTGTTGGAAGAATATCTTCTGACATTCCTAGCAAGGCAGGACTCTTGGCAGCAAACTTCATCATTCTTTCTCTCTCCCTCTTTCTCATTTGTTCTCTGGCCATGTGACATCTCCACTCACCGGACGTGTTGAGGGCCTCCCCAGTCCTTCATCTAGTGGTGAGCTACCTGTTTAACAACCCTTCAGATTTGGGACTGGCCGCTCAGACTTGCTGTTAGGTACATCTTGTTCATTGAGCTTCAGTGTCTTTTTTTTTGTACGGCATACTTTGTTTATATAGCACTGTAATTGTTGCTGATCATACCATATGGTATAATACTGTAGTTTTATGTTCTGTTATACCTTACAGGGCTGCGCATGAGAGTTATGCAAATAAGAGCAAAGTCATCAAGTTGGAGTCTCCTTGGACCATCTCTTTGTTTAAGTGTTGTAACATATATATATATATATATATACTATATACAGTTCCTCCATCACTGACCAATTCAGTTAATGACCTTGTCGCAGACATAGGACTCAGCCATGAAACAGGGAATGTATGTTCTCCCCACCTCTGGAACCATGAGTCAAATAAAGTTCTATCTTTAAAATTTATCCACTGCAGTATTCTGTTATAGTAGTGGCGATGAACTAAGGTGCTATAACATAAATCTGACAATTCCCACATTCCGGATGTATCTACTCTTCTTTTCATAGTGTTCAGTCTCTTCAACATGCATGTTTTTTTTCCTTTTAGTATGCCTTGTGATTTTTCTTCTTTTTTATTTTTTAATTTTTTTGGTACCAGGGATCGAACTCGGGCCCTTACGCTTTCGAGGCAAGCAGCGGCACCACTGAGCTAAACCCTCGGCCCTACCTTGTAGTTTTTCTGAAAGGTAGACAAGATGTACATGGATGGTGTTTTCTGCAAGGACCTGGTAGAAGTTCTAGAGGTAGAGCTCCATTAGCGTCAGAGTACCTGTACCTCTGACTGGGGCCTCTTGGAGTTTTTGACTCTCAGACTTATCTACCTTGAGCTTACAGAAGTCTGTGAATTGTGATCCTCTGTATCCACTGATCTATATCCCCCATCTTTGGGGGTATCAGTTTTCCCTGTGACCCCATCTTTCTGGCAGATCTAAGAAGTTGTTGATTTTTCAGTCTGTACAGCTTTCTTACTCTTACAGAGTAGTGACTTCTAAGCTTCTTACATGAAGGACCAGATTATTTTTTATAAAAGGAATTTTCCCCTGGTCAACTGTCAGAGGGTTCAGGCAGGGGGAACGTATTAGCAAACAAATTATTGATCGAAAGGCTGATCATTAACTGTATTAATATGGCCACATTCAAATAGTATTTTGTGAATGAACAGAGATCTTTTGAAATAAAATAGAACTGCATAACCAACAGCACAAAACCACAGGACAGTGGAGGTAATATTCAGCTCATTTTAATTCTAATTTTAGAAGCAGCACAAAGTAACTGTTTGCGCCTTTGCAGAATTTAGATCACTGGGAGATAACGACTGGTGCAATCTACCACCAAGGATGGAAAACGTGAAGCCATTCATAAGTATCAGGACCCCTCATCACATCCCATGTTACGAGGCTGTTGAAATGCAAGTAGGGAGATAAACACACCTGTGCAAGGAGACCATCAACTCTAGGGGCACTCAGGGTGGTGCAGAGGGCCTTACAAGGTTGAGGGTGCAGATGAAGGCGGACTCAAAAAAGGGGATGCGAAAGAGTGTGGCCTTGGGACAAATTTGCACACTCAGTCAGTTGGTTGGAGAAATCTGGGGTCTCAGACCTGCAGCTTTGCTCACTGACCACTGCTGTACTGTGTGCCTGAACATGGTTGGCAAACCCATCAGGATGAGCAGGTTTGGGTAGCTCTTCTTCCTCTGCCTGTTGGCCTCTCCAGAAGGACAGGTTCTCACTGGGGAATCCACTGTTTGCAGAGAGAGATGGGGAGCAGAAGGAAGGGATTCGTGGTGAGAGTCCAAAGACATGGGAGCAGCGCCTCTACTGTCCTGGACATGAGGTAGCCCCGGACATGGGATGTGGGGGTGCCTCTCAGAGTTCATGAACTTACTGGAGAGTGCACTGTCACTGCTGTGTGTACAAAATGCCTCATCATGCCTGTTTTGAACCAACTGTGTCCCCTCCCACATTCATATGTTGAAGCCTGCATTCCTAGTGTGGTGTTTAGAGGTGGGGTCTTTGGGAAATAATTTGGCTTAGATGAGATCATGAAGGTGGGGCCCCATGATGGGATTAATGTCCTTCCATTAGAAGAAAAAGAAGAGACAATTATAATAAAGAGAAGCCTTGCTTTCTCTGATGTGTAAAGAGCTACCTGTAAGTCCCAAACTGAGAACCCTTATTAGGAGCTAAATCTGCCGACAACTTGCTCTTGGACTTGGTTTCCCAGACTCCAGAATGACAAGGAATAAATACCCATTGTATAAGCCCTTTGGCCTTTGCTGCCTTACAGTAACCCGAACAGACTCAGACATCACTGCTGCCCCTGCCCCTGTGTAGCCCGTCAAGCCCACTGCAGTTTACCCCAGTAAGAAATTTCCTATGCTTTAGACCAGAAGCCACAGCCGCTACCATAGCAACAGCATCACTACTTGCAGCTTCTGCTTGGACTTCAACCTCAGCCTGCCCAGCCAGATATGTAGGCGGGCCATCTCCTCCCCCAGATCCTCCCTCTGGCCCAAAGTCTGATCTGACGGGGATGCCGAGAGAACAAAGCAAGCAAGAAGGGATGGTCTCTGAAACGCAGAGATGACCAATCTATTCGTTTGAAAAGGAACTTACTTGAAACCCAGGTTCATTTTAAAAGAACAGAAAAGATAAAACTTGGCATCTCTGCAGTAGGAAACATTCTATAGAGCAGTTTCTACCTTGACCCTTCTGTACTTCTCTTACATGCACTCTCCATGGCCCCTGACATCCTATAATACCTGAAAAAATGAAGCAACATGTTGTCAAATGTGTATAAAATTACTTGTGAGCAGAATCAAACCTTTTGCTGTCATCTGGAACATAACAGCCTAGGAATCTTTGTCCAAACTTGAGGGCACTGCCAGATTTCTGGGCTGCAAAGGTCCCAGAGGTGATGAGAACCGACTGCCCAGCTTTTCCCACGCACAGTGACCTGGGAAGGGAGGAGCAGTGTGGCGTGTGACATACTGGCAACAAGTCAGGCCACACTGAGGCCTGCTAGTGATGGAGAACAAGGAAGAACATCAAATGTTTGAACTCTGGGCAATTTTTAATCTTCAGCTATGAAGAGACAAGAGAGTAAACACTGTCTATCCAGGTGCACATTCCTAGGGCTGCGCTCAATGCTTCTGATGACGCTGCAGGAAGAAAGTCGCACCTGCATCTGGAGAGAGGCCAAAGCCTTCCTGGTGCACAGCTTTCTGGTGGCACTATGACATTTTTATGGAAACTCAATCACTGTTTGTCTTGTACTGAGATTTCTGCCGAGGTTAGAGCCAAGAGAGAAATAGTGCTGACCATATTCCCCAACCCCAGCGTGGAGGGCAGGTGTGCATCACTCAAACAGAAAACCACACGGTTGCTTTGTTTAATGGCAAATTAATCACCGAAGGTCTAGCCTGGCGGGATCAGATCATGTTTGTTCTCAGAAACAGCCTGAGCTGCGGGGGCAGAGCGCATGGTGACCATGGCCTCCATGAACCTTCATGATGCCTCTTTGCTGGCAACAGCAGATGTGCTCTACACACACACACACACACACACACACACACACGCATGTGCACGCAGGTTGTGCTCACTGGTGTTCTCTCCAAAAGGAAGTGGAAGAAATGTGTTCACAGAGAGCATCGGAGAGATCAGCAAAGATTGGCGAATTACAAAGATGTGTAAATTAATATATAAGTTAGAGTTGTGCAGCTAATATCTTATTCTGACCATAAAAGGAGTACACCTGATTTCCATGGGTTTTGTTTGTTTGTTCGTTTGGTACAGGGGATCAAATTTGGGACCTTGTGCTTGCGTGCGAGGCAGGGGCAGGAACCACTGAGCCAAATCCCTGGCTCCATGTTTTTGGTTTATTCTTGCTAAGTTTATACATGATATATCTTGGTTCTTATTTTTGCCCTTCCCATACTCTCCCTTCAACCCCTCCACTCCTCCTTATTTGCAAAGACATTTTTTTCTGTTTTTTCTTTCTTTTCTTATATTTTTCCTTTCTTTCCTTTCCCCTACTCCCTTCCAATTCCCCTTCCCCTTCCCCTTTGGACCTTTTCTTCCTATTTCATGTTATCTACTACACATTTTGATCCTCATTGACGTTTTCAGTTTCTCACACCAGAGAAACAATTGGTATTTACATTGTGTCCTATTTACTTCACTTAATAAATTCCATGGGTTTTAAAGGATAAAGTCTTTTATTTGATAGAATGTGGTGGGTTGAGGAGAATTGTTGCCTAGAAAGTGTAAGGATAGAAGGAATTTTCCAACACCAAATACAAATGAAGGCAACACAAAAATAAATAAATAAACACACACAAAAAAAACCCACTTCTGAATGTTGACATAAACATTCTAAATGAAGCGGTGGCATATTTGAGGAGTAGTAAGCTGTGGTCAAGTGTAGTTAGTCCAAGAGTGCAAGGATGGGTTAATATCAATGATTTGTTAAAATAATTAACTCTTCTGTGTCATCAAAGAGTTTCAATATATTTGATAAGACTCAGTATACATTTATGTCTTAAACTCTTAAGAAAAAAAGAATAAATATAATCTTATGCTTATAAATACAGATAGATACCCCTTACACAAACCCAGAAATCGGCTTTCTCCTTAATGGAGAAGTTGTCAGAACGATTCCTTAAAATGCTGTCAAGTGGGGAAGAAGACAAGGACGTGTATCACTTTCCTGTTATTGTTAGAATGTGCTCATCAAAGAAAACGGGGAAAGGGAGAAGTGACATTTGAAAAGTGGGAAAAAAAGGAAAATTAATGTCATTTGCAAAGAATGTGGTTGCCCCATGCAATATTCAGAGAATCAACCAAAAACCCATTAGCAGTAATATGAAAATTTATCAGAAAGCCCCAAAGCTCATGTAGGTTAGTAAATTTATAATGAGAAAGGATCGCACCACCACCACCACCAATAACAACAACTACAACAAATGCCAAAATAAATCTAAAAGGAAATATGCAGAACACATGTAATAAGATTCTTAATTCTTTGAAGGGACATTAAAAAAGCCTTCAGCAAGTAGAACTGTAGTCCTATGGAGTGAAACTCAAAAATGTAAAGATTTCAATTTTTCCAAGTCAATCTATAAACTTGATATAATTAATTTGATTCAAAACATCAACACAATTTTTTTTCATAATTTGACAAACTCTAACATGAAAATGAAGTAATCTCACAGGAACACCCAGGAGAGACCTGGAAAAGTAAATAGAGGAGTGGGGTGAGGGAAGGAACAGCCTCACCAGACGGTGAAAGCTGCCTGTAGTGGGACAGCTTGCTACTGGGCAGACGCGCGACAGGCAGGGACCCAGGGCTGCCCTCCCCCAGGAGACGGTGTCTTTGGCCGAGCCTTGGAACTGATGTGGGGTCCTATCCCGATGAGCCCCCGAGGGTTTGGGAGTCTCACATCCTCACTCCTCCATCAGCCCACCCCTCTGTGTCCACATCCGGCCACTGCTGCCTGCAGAACCCAGATTTCTTAACGGGAACTTTCGACAGAAAGCTCAATCTGCTGTTGATTCTCTAGACTAAGAAATCTGAAGGAAAGCAAGTAACAAGGATGTTTGTATGGGAACAGTGATTGTGACAACTCATCCTCCTTGGCTACCAGACAAAATTTTATTACTAAGTTTAATCTCTAGATCACTTTTGGACTCATAGAAACATTGAGCAGAAAATACACAGAGTTCCCCTGCATCCCATCTCCCCACCCTGCACCTCACTGCTGTCAGCCCCTCTATTGTTGACATCTTGCCTTAACGTCGCACATTTGTCACAGCCAATAGGCTGTGCCAGTACTGACTAAAGTGCATGGTCTGAAATAGGGCTCATGCAGCGTGTGTGCGGGGTTAACACGTGCATGGTGTGGCGTGTCCACCATGACAGGGCCGTACAGAGTTGTACTGTCCTAAAAGCCCCCACAGCTCTGCGGATGGTTTTACCACATGAAATCGAGATACAAGGGGAAGATAGATCTTTTTGGACACAGAGATGCTTGCAAATGCTGTTCTTTTTTCTTTTAAAAATGTGACTTTTTTGAATCCAGGTTATTTACCAGTTGGAAATAAGTGCAGTTCTCTGTTGCCAGCTTCTTATCCACTAACTGGTTCCGTGTAAATAATGGTACCAATTTGAACAAATTACCCATGCTGAATTTATTACAGACAGTGACCTAAAATTTTGCACTTATTAATACTTTAAAAAATAAAACAGTGATATATTTATTTGTAAATCTCGCTTCTCTTTTTAATAACGTGGAACTCACAGCCATTGTGAATTGATCTAAAACGTGCTAAATGCAATGACTTCATCATCTCCTAAAATCCATAGCTAGCACCAATCTCTTCATGCCATGAGTTTCTCCTCTAAAAACTTGACAGTTAATGTTATTTTTAAAAATCAGACAATGAAAGAGTCTTACAAGGAAAGGAAGCATTTATTACAGACTAGGGCTGGTCAGAAGAAAATTTACAGAATTCATAAAGGATTTTTCTTCCTTGGACCTTGTCTTCCTGCTGAGAGCACTTTGCTGTTAACAGAGAGATAGAAGGGAGGTTAGACATCATTGCAGGCATCTACATTCCTGCATAGGCACCTGGGACCCAGGATTGTTGAGGGCAGATACAAGATGGCACCAGAGCCCAAAGCAACCAGCTCTGTGAATAAAGAAGCCGGAGAGACACCAGTAGGAAGAAGAGGTAATCAAGTCAGGGGACACAGCCACAGCCTCAGGAAGGAAGCTCAAATCTCACAAAAGACCAGAACAGGCTCTGGCTCAGTGTTGGGAAGCTGCTCTTGTGGTATGAGGTGGGAGGAATGGCACCAGTCACGAGAACACATCGTGGGGCAGTGGGTGACTGCGCCTGTGCCTTGGTGCTTGGGAGCTTAGGCTCCATCCTTCAGATGAGCAGAGCCCTTGAGCTGGCAAGGACTCGCGGTAAGAAACTCTGGTGCCAGAGCCTTGCAGGGGAAGAAGATAGAACTGGTAGGAAGATACAGAGCCATCTTTAGGCTAGAGATGAAGAGGCTGGGATGGAGCTGACAGAGCAGAGAGAGGGCAGAGCATTTCGGAGGAAGGATTAGCAGGACGCAGTGAAGAAGGGGGAAAGATGAGATGAATCTGTCTCCGGCTGTGTAATCAAGATTAGCTGGATGCAGGAGGAAGGGCAAGTCCCCCAGGGAGGAATATTCCGATGGAGGGCCAGCAAGCTGCTGTCTGCTCAAGCCTGGAGTGGAGGATGGGAGAATCCCCAGACAAGGGAGCATCCCAGCCCTGAGGACACCTGAGGGAGGGCACCGAGCAGAGGGAGAGCCAGCCGAGTTCAGACCCTGGGACTGTCACCGGTCGGGAACAGGAGGGAGAAGACAAACTCGTGAAGAGCAGGAAGAAGTCTTGGTGCTGAGCCACAAAGCCTCAGTGGCAGAGGATTTCAGGAGAGGAGTGGCCCTGGCCTCCAGTGTGGCCACGGGGTTGAGCAGGACTGGGGTGGACGCGGACACCGGAAGGCAGCCATGGCTCTGTTTACCAAGCAAACCTCTGCCAGGGCATGAAGAGAGAGTGGATGAGGTCGAGGGGCTGCAATGCGGAGTTCTCTTTAAAATCTGGGCTGAGACAGGAATAAAGGAAGCTAGCGACAAGCTGGGTGTTGGATAAGTCAGTCCTACTTATTCCAGGAAATTCACCTACTCTCTGATACTTATTTTTATGCCCAAAGCAGCGTTCCTGTGCTTTCTCCCTCCTTGTGGGGCATACAGAGTGGTAAAAAATGAGTCATTCTATCTACACATCCGCAGCTGAGGCCAAATAAGACCACACTTTGCCTTCTTGTTTCAGGTTATGTCCCTTAAACATATGTCCTTTTCAAGGTCTATCTAGTATAACTTTTAATTTTTTTTTTCCACGCATTTTTGTGCTTTTTCTTGATAGTTTCATCTTTTTAAAACTGTGCTCGAGTACAGCGCCCTCTAGCGCTCCCGAAGGCGGTGATGCGCATCAGGGAGAAACCACGTTAGAGGAGTTCCTTACTGGCCTGAGTACTAGCGTTGCGGGGCCAGGGATTTAGCTCAGTGGTTCCACTGCCTGCCTCGCAAGCGCAAGGACCTGAGTCTGATCCCCGGTACTGGCCACGACTTTGCTGTTAGTGAATCAACAAAATACAGTGAATAAAGCACCTGAACAGTACACACGGGAAAGAAAGTCATACACTGATCCACGGAGGGAAATGTTGGTCCTAGAGGCTCAAAGGCACCCAAACTTGCATTTCCTAAGGACAGTGGTTGCAGCATTTGTGAGAACCATGAGAATCGGCTGCTCTTGGTGAAGTAATTGATAGAGCTTGAGCTTCATAGTGAAGTATAAGTAAACAGAGCTGCTCATGGCCAGTTTTTTGCCTCCCGAGCCTTGGGTGGGTCTTTTCCTTCTTCTTGAGTATCTGGCTCCCTTCAGCAAATGGGATATCAGGGAAGAGCATGACAAGAAGCTCTCACTAGTAAGTCTGATATCTGAATTATTGAAGTCGTTCCGAAAGCTCACCCATGCCAACTTGACTCATGGTGGGTAGGTATGTTCCCAAAGTCCCTCCTTCCATTATTTTTGCTAATTTTACCATACTGGGGATTGAACCAGGGCCTCCCGCATCCTATGCAAACACTCCGCCACTGAGTCCCATCCCCAGACCGCACGTCGGTGAGTATGTATCTAGCTCTGTGTAAACATGGCAGATGTATCTTAAACAAATAATGCTTGAAGGTTTGGCCTCTTGTGCTGTCTTTTAAACATGGAAGCATGAGTGTGACAAGGAAGAAAACAAAGCTTTGGAAGCAGGTGATGGGAGCAAATCTGAATCTTAATACTCCCTCTGGGAGCAGGGGCCCCTAGGCACCTCTGCTTTTTCATTGGTAAGATGGAGGGATAATAATAAGACTTCGACTGGACATGGCTAATCTAAGGCAGTGCACATGAGGGACACAAACAAAGCAGGAACCCTAGAGGATCCCAGCACCAAGTAGGCATTTGGTGAATACTTATGGAGCAAATGGAGGAAGTCATGGGGTAGAATTTTCCGACCATGCACCTGCTGATCTAAGCTGCCTCCTTTGCTGCTCTTGGACACAGGTTAAGAATTCCATGCACACCTAGGCGTGGTGGTGCATGGCTGTGATCCCAGAACTCTGGGAGACTGAGGCAAGAGGATTGCAAGTTCAAACCCAGCCTGGACAACTTAATGATCTAGTGAGAACTTGCCAGAAAAAAATTTTAAAAATAGAAAGTACTTGGTGGGGGGTGTCTCAGTGCAAAGGCCCTGGGTTCAATCCCCAGTATCATAAGAAAACAAAAATTAAAAAACAAAAAGAATTCCATGCAAATCCATAGTGCAGGACTGAGGAACATGCATTGTTCATTCTGCCCTGGTTCAGGTGCTGAGTATCTTCTACCTGCTACACAACTGGTCTTCCCAGCTGTGAAGATCAAGAAAGAGCAGGGCTCTCAGATACATTCCTCTCAACATGAGAGTTGGACCCTGATTTTCTGCATTTCCTATTTTAGAGTTCAAATAAGAAAAGACTTTAGACTTCTTTTGTTAAATACTGCATTTCACTATCCACTGATATATTAAATCATTTTCTAGCAGCTGGAAAGAACTCTAGAACAGTGTTTATTAAATTATAAAAACACTTATTCAGCTCCTACTTTTTCCAGGGACAGGGCCAACCTCTGGAGAGTCCGCGAAAAATGAGCCAAAGTCTCAGCCATCAAAGACCTCACCATAAAAAAAAAAAAACGTCACTAACAGTTTGAAAATGATAATCTTGTTTTGGGTTGGACATTCCTTCCCTCCTCCCTCCCATCCTAATCAATTCTAATTCACTGCTCTTAGATTATACAGCTGACAAAGACATTGCTGCTGCATGCACACATGTCATTAATACTTTTACTTATTCTTAAACTAAACTCATTGAGATAACAAGGAAATGCATCCTCAATACACAAAACACAGTAAGGAGCCTTCGGAGGCACTGAGCCCTGTGAGAGGAAGACTGGGTTGACTGGTGTAGGACAGGCAGTGCCCAGGCCAGTGCTGCTACAGTTCATCGTCTCTCTGTGCTGTCTTTCAAGACATGTTGTAGGTGATCGATCTTTGGAGACATCCGATAATGCGTTTATACTGTGATACGAGTGCATATATGCATCTAATGAGATCATCTGATTAGTACACAAAACACAGTCAACCCACTGAGAAGTCCAATCTTCCAGCCCGAATGCTATACAAGGCAAAAAGACATGATTTATATTTATAAAAAGGAAATATGATGAGTCGGTTTCTTCATAATGAGTAGTTTCTTGAACTCAGTATGAAGCTAGATTTTATTTTTAGAGTGTACCATAGATTTAAAACACACTATTTCCCTCTTTCATCCAAAACGGCCTCATTGTGAATTTTCCTTCTATTTCAGTAAAATGTCAGTTGATTTCTTTCAAATTCTAGTGATTAAAAATTGATTATTCTATGCGTTTTTTGTAAAAGACCTTCAAGAACCCAAAGTGAAGGATTCCATCATCCACTCAAAAATATTTGCCGAGCACTGGTGTATTGAGTGTCCCCAGCTAAGGGCAGGACACTGGAGGACAATGGTGGAGGAAGCACCTGGAGCCTTCTCAGAGAGGAAACAAGTACCAACATGCCCTGGGATGAGGGTCTACGGAGGCCCAAGAGGGACATTGGCAATGCTTTGGTGGTGTTGGTTTGTGGGGTCAGAGTATGCCTCCCAAGGGAAGCAACAGCCCAACTACCAGCAGAATGGTGAGACAGAAGTAGCCAAGGTGATCTAGTGGAGGCTCTAGCAGGAGGAGCAGCAAGTATTTCAATACTGCTGGAGCCTGGCGGTGAGGTGAATCTTGGGTTGTGGGCCCAGTGAGGGCCACCATGAGCCACATGGAGCATATGGACTTTATCCTGAAGGCACGCTGTGCTATGTAAACAGTGAAGTGTGCAGACTTTCAAGCTCCACAAACAACTCACATGTGTGCATGCAAAAGTATGCACAGAGCAATATCCATAATTGCATCTTAAATTCCTTTTAAATGTGACCCTTATGATGTCCCTGTAGTACTTAGGAATCCTCAAAAAGCTGTTGTATGTGCTCCAGTCTCTGGGAGCAGCTGGAAATCTATACACTGGTAAGACTGCAGTCCTAGGGTGAACTTCACAGCTGGGGCTCAGGCTCCAGCTCTCTGGATCAGTGGGGATAAATGTGGAAAGGGTGCTGTTCTTCTACTCGGCTCAGTGCCTGGCTTTTCACACCTCCCATTTACTCCATATGCAAAGCTAGCACCAGGGTTCAAAGTTGTCAAGGATCAGAATCTCCTCTGCGTCCAAGAGAAAGCTGAGAACAGCGTGCAAGGTGTACTGTGTGGGAGCAGGACCGAGGCGAGGACACAGTTGAGGCGAAAGAAAAATGTGTGGGTAAAAATCAACCACACTGGGCCATGGGAGATTCCAAGAAAAGACCAAGGACAAGGAAGAGTCAAGGATGCCCCTCAAGTTTTTAGCCTGAACAAATCAAATGAATGATGATGCCACCGATCAAGAAGGGAGTTTGGCAAGAAAGTGGTTGCATTTTAGGAGCTCACAGGGGACCCAAAGCAAAGAACAGATGGCAGGGAAACTGAGGCAGCAGCTGCAGACCACAGTGTGCAAGAGCTAGGCTGGGAGCGATGGCAGGTGCTGGGCTGAGGAGGTCAGAGGCTAAGGAAGAGGCTGCTCTTGGTAGCTTTGTTAGAGCACAGGCAACTGATGACAGCAGCGGTGAAGGCACAGGTTGAGGGCTCAGGACACTGGCGAGAGGGTCCCAGTGCAGCGCGGTGGGAGGAGGCGGAGGGGGCTGGAAGGCGGGCAGGGTGAGCAGCACTTTACAGGGCTTTACGGTGGGAGCACACTGTGTCAGCCACTCCTTTACCTCCACTGTCACTCAAAGCCACCACGCATCCTCACTCTGTGCCTGTAGTTGGGGAGCCTTCTGTTTGCAGGTGGGAAACCCCTTCTCTGGAGCTCTGAAAATGGAAAGGGGGAGCAGAGTCTCTGTCGGTCACAATGATCCAGGGCCACAGGGACCAGAAGACGACAAATCACTGAGAGGGATTCTGCCAGAGTAACCGAAGCCTGCACTGCCAAGGGACACTGGCAGTGCTGTCCCTCATCTTCCCGTGGCACCGCCCACTCTCCTCACTGTGTCACGGCAGCACCCAGAGCTGATTTCCCCCACTCCGCATCACCTCCCAGGATTTGTCGCAGCCGCTGCTGCAAGCCCTCGAGGGCAGGGACTGTCACATTTCTTTCTCAGTCCTCTGTGGGACCTGCCCAGAGCAAGTCACACACATTTGCTGAACTGAATTAAATTGTCACGTTTAACACCATTTCTTGGACAACTGCACATCTACATCCACAGTGCTCCCAAGGCTCAAAATGTGGTTAGAATTTGGCTTGGAGGCACCTCCTGAGGCCTATAAAAGGGCTGGTCTCATTGATTTATAGCCGCACAGTACTGTTCGTCTCTAGTGGGATTTGTTTGATGCCACCGCCTCCAGGGTGGCCTGCTGGGATCACCCTCTTGGGCTCTCCCCTCTCAGCGGAGACTCACATGGTACAGCTCCTCCATCATTCGGGCAGGAGAAGCTGTGCCTTCCCTGTCCCCACTGTCACTGGGGAATCCAGCTGTCATGTTTGGAAAACATTCATCAAACCCCACAGAAATACCATCTGGAAGCCCAGGAGGGACTGGACTGAGCCTTTTCAACAGCCTTGTGAGTGAGCCTGAAAATGGATCCCTTGACCCAGTCGAGCTCCGGCTGAGACCGCAGCCTCAGCCCACATCACATCTGTAACCTTGTTACAGATTCAGAGTCGGAACCATGCAGTAAGTTGCTCCTGGGCTCTTGATCCCCAGAAACTGAGATAATAAATAAATGTTTCTTATTTTAAGCTGTTAAATCTTGGGCTACGTTAATATGCAGCAATAGATAGCTAATCCACCCACGTTGGCCATTCATCCAATTTATCAAATTTATTTCCACACTGCTTTTGGCTGTTTACACAATCAAACCCAAGGGGAAATATGTGTGCCCATTACAAGGTTCAAGAGTGGGTCCATAGCACACATGTTCAAATACCACATTGTTTCTCTGGTGTGGGAAACTGAAAGTGGAGATAAGGACTGAAATGTGTAATGGAGGTTGGGAAATGGGAAGAAAGTGTTCAAATGGGAAGGGGAACGAGGGAGGAGAGAGGGAGAACGGAAGGGGCAAGAAAAAAGGTGAAAATGGAAGGAAAAAATGGAAACAAAGCTTTGGTACGTAGGGAGGGGGCTTGAGGGAGGAATGGGATAAAATAAAATTTAATAAAAAGTTTTTTTTAAAAGAATGGGTCATAGACTCTGAAGACAACTCTGAGAGAAGTGTTCTAAAGAACAATTTCAGTGGCAGTCACACTGATAGTAACTGTTTATTTTCCCAACGTGACAATTTGAAAGAGGTATAATCCTGAGGCCTTTCTTAAACTGAGGATTCAGGTTTAACCGTAAGGTTCCTAATGAAAGGGGGCATGCGTGACATCAATCAGAGCTCCCTGCAATGCTCCTGCCCCAGCGCCCATTGGAATGGAGGGCGAGGAACGCAGGGAGGATTTCACACGGCCCCTGGAGGACACCGCGGGAAACGCAGGGCTGCAGAATCCTGGATCTGTCCCAGGTCCCATCTCTGCCCCTGACTGCCTGCATCAAAATCCCATGTTGGCTGGCGGGGTAGCCCTGAGTAAGAATGTACTGACCAACAGAGTGCAGGCTGGCAGGGTTGGGGGAGGCTGCAGGAGGAGACTGGTGAGAAATGAGTCAGCCGAGGAGACTGAAGGAGCAAACGGATCTTCAGGGGAGTGAGGAGTCCGGGTGAGCCGCCTTCACCTACTAAGAAGTCTGGTTACACCTGGCCATGAAACACCATCAGTGAGCTCTATTCAGAAAACGCTCTAGGAGGGTCTGGAAGAGGGGCCAGCGCTGCTGATGTCCTGAGCTGGATTTATATGGTTTGGTTTGGTTCTATTCTATTTCTGTTTTGTTTTGTTTTATTTTTTGTTTTGTAACAGGGTCTCACTTACATGCCCAGGCTCCAGTCCCTACATGCTATTCTCCCGCCTCAGCCTCCCAGGGGACTTGCTATTTTGTTTGGTGGCTGGTAACTTCTAAGTGAGTTAGCACCTGGAAGTTATCTTTTCAATGAGCTGCCAGGCAATTTTATACGTTATTAATCGTTCTCATTTTCACTTAGTGAAACAGCTTCAGCCCAGTCTGGGTGGATCGGAAAAGTGTCTTTATATTGAGGAAGTAACCACTTACCTAGTGACGGATCATAAAACTGCTCACTCCTGGATTCCTCAGAAGTGAGACCTGTAATACAGTAAACGTCATAAGACAAAACCCCTCCCCTCACTTCCAGAATGTTGTGGGACTGTGTAACTAAAGCCATAAATATGTTACTCTCCTCTTCCTCCTCCTCCTCCTTTTCTTCCTCCTCCTCTGTCTTTTTTACTATCTCTGGAATTTTTCATTAAGGTTTTCATGAAATATGAAGCTCAAACATAATTATCTAGGTCCACCACAAAACAATCAAGCGTTTATCAGACAAGCATGAAAATGTTTTCATTAAAAAAAATATAAATAACAACCATGTTCACAACTTTACAGTCTTCTTCTCAGTGTGTTGTCCTTTTAAGGCACTGGCTGCAGCCCCTTCATTTATGGCACCTGTACTCCGTGGTCAGGATACACTGCCTGCCAGCAAGAAAGGCCGCTGTGCTTGCAGTCTTGAAGATAACACATGACCCAACAAACACCCTTTGGCAGCAGAGAAGCAGGAGACGACAGGAGCCCTGCTGCCATCAGTACCAATGGGAAAATCGCCAGTGATAGATACAAGCGTGGCTCCAAAGTCATTGAACACTGACCCAATCCCACTTTAAATGGCAAAAGCCATAGAAGAAGGACAGAAGTAGACCCTTTCCTCTTCCAGCCATGATCTCAGATGCACAGAAGAAGTCAGCTCTGGTCACAGGGTTGGGAAGGTCCCAGAGTTCAGCCAGGAGGATGAGGGGATCCTGATCCCCACCCCACACACTGCTGCATACCTGGGCCTTAAAACCCGGAAGTGCACCAGGCAGGAACAAGCGCTCAATTCAGGGACCCACTGTGGGGGAAACCAACCCCATCCCTGACTATGTACAGATGTTGGGCCCTCAAATGGAATCGTGTATGGAAAAGCTCTGCAAAAATAGAGAAATATCTAAAGAATTACATCAGTATTATTTAGTTAAGGAACAAAAGTAAAACAAGATGTTTATTTTCAAAATACTGTAATTGTTCAAATGTAGCTTTCATTTTCCAAACATTTGTACCTTTAATTCGCCAACAAAGGGCTATGATAGGAAGTTGCTTCAAGAGAGATAAACATTACAGAGAACAGATCTCAACTTACCAAGTAGATAACTGTTTCTGAATTTATAGGGTCTTTCCATGTCCCCAAAAATCATCTAGGGAAATTTAAGCAAGGATATGTATCAGTACACGAAAGAGAGAAAAAGAGAAATATACTGTAAATATTATCTAGAGGATTTATATCTGTAATGCATTTTAATGAAATAAGGACGTATGAGGTATGATCAAAGCCTACAGCGAATGCTTAAAGTTTTAAATTATTACAAGAAAAGATACGTTGCCATCAGTCCCCGTCAGAACCCTCCCCTCACCTTTAATACACTCGTCCCATTATTCTCGCCACTGTCTGAAGCAGCTCTGGAAGGCCCTCTTTGTGTGTCTACTTTCACTGTCGCGGCTGCCTCGTGCCAAATCTGCTCAGAGCATTTACTTTTCATGGTCACTATGGCTTTGGGGAAGAGCCAGAAGTCACACAAGGCCAGATCTGAATGAAGAGACACCGTGATGGTTTTCATCTGGCAGAAACTGCTGTAGACATTTTGAATCAATTCAGGACATTGAGGAGCCACGAAAAGACACTCACAAAAAAGGATTTCCAGAATTGCTCCAGAAAGCGACCCAAATAACGGGATAAACGTATCTGACGTGACAAGAACTATTCTGCAGACGATTAATGGCAATGTATCATTCACTGTAATCTATATTTTAAGTGTTAAACACTTATATTTTGTTAAGTTGTGCTTGTTATGTTATCACATATATATATGTTCAAGAAAGCACATGGGGAAGAAAGACAAACTTATGTAAAGTCTAGATTGACTCCAAAGTTTTCAGTGACACAGAACACACTTCCAAATGTTGTGGAACAGAAACAAAAAGTGAAAAGACACAAAAAGTGAGAGAAAACATTTGCAAATAACTCAATAAGAAGAAAGTAACTCAATTGAATGCAAGGAAAGAAAATGAATAGACATTGCTCCAAAGAAGATACAGATTTTCCTTGTTTAATGACCTCCCCACTTAACAACGGCCCAGACTTATGACCCATCTGCTTTTGGATAGTTCTGTACATCTTGTTTGTAGAGCTTCATTGTCTTATCTTGGTAGCATATACCTTGTTTATACAGTAATTTTTGCTGATTGTACAGTTCAATACAGCCCTGTAGTTTTATGTTCCTTTATACATTATAGTACTGAGTGTAAGAGTTTTGCAAATACAAGCAAAGTCATCAAGTTGGAGTTTCCTTTGACCATCTCTTTGTTCTAAATGCCATAAAGTACATACCGTGTACCATTCCTTAACTAGTAACCAATTCAATTAGGAGCCTAATGTAGGAACAGGACTCAGTTAAACAAGGAATGTCTGTATACATATGCCCATTCATTAGTCATTAGGAAGACTAAATTAATACAAAAAATTAATACAAATTAAATCACTTCACACCCACTAGAATGGTTAAAAAAAAGATGGCCATAATAAATGTTGGCGAGAGGGACTTTAGCTCAGCGATTTGGTGGCCTGCCTTGCAAGCACAAGGCCCTGAGTTCAATCCCTGGTACCAAAAAAAAAAAAAAAAAATTGTTGGCGAGAATGTGTTGAACCTGACAACTTCATACTTTGCTGCTCTAGGAGAACTTTTGGCAGTCCTTCAGAAATCAAGAGGATCATACCCAGCAATTCTACTTATTATCAAATTAAAAACTTATCCACACAAAAATGCGACATGACTATTCCTGACATCAGTATTCACAAAAGCCACAAGTGGAAAAACCCAAATGCTGATCAGCTACTGAATGTATAGATCAAATGTGGCATATCCATTAAATGGAAAATTATTCAACAACAAAAGGAATGAAGATTTTCAATTTCTTTTTGCATACTCCCTGGAAATATCTTCATACATTCAATGGTGTATATAGATATGACCTCTCAAACATTATACTAATTGAAATAAGGTAGTCACAGAAAGACATATATTGGATGTTTCTATTTATATGCAATGGCCAGAATTCCACTTACACGAAATGGAAAAATCCTTAGAAACAGAAAATAGGTCAGTGGTCGCTAAGGGTTTGGGGAGCCGGGAGTGGAGAATGATTCATTTCAGGAATCTCTTTTCAGAATGATGAAAATGTTCTGAATGTAGATAGTGGTCATAGTTCTCTTTGTGAAGATACTAAAAATCTCTAAATTGCACACAATGAAGTAGGTAAATTGTGTGGTATAGAATTATGTCTCCATAAAGGTATTATTTTAAAATGAAACAAAACATTAGGGGCTGGGGATGTAGCTCGGGGTAGAACACGTACCTTATATGTGCAGGACCGCCCCCCATACCTAACATCGCATTGAACACGGTAAATGTACTAAAATAAAAATTAGTAAATAATCAATAGAGTTGTACGTATGAAAGAGGAGCACAGGACCTAAGCGAGGCCAATGAGAGCTAGAAATGTTCCAACTGGAGCTGGGAAAATGCTTCCTTCTCCTCCTACTATCACGAGGAGTGACTCTGGAGTAGCTAGGGCTTTATTTCCTGATTGAGGAAAGGGACGAAGGGGACAGAGCTGGGGGAGGAGGGAGGAGAAGGAGAAAAAAGGAAGGAAGGGAGGAAGGAGAGGGAATAGGAAGGAGAGGAGGCCACAGACAAGATGAAGCAGAAGTTTATGGGGCCCACAATGTAGAAGTTTCCTGAATTCAGTTGCCTGTGAAGCTAACTCTTCCCTTTGCTGACTGGGAATGTGACCCAGGAAATTATCTCCTCTTGGCCTAGATTACTGGTATTTGGGGGGCTCGGACTACTTCTCAACGTCTATATTGCAAAATGGAAAGCAGTCAAATGTCTCCTTCCTCGAGTTAGAATTGCTTTTGTTTTTCTTCCTCAGTCTCTCTCTTGGACAGTTCTGGCCCTCTTGGCTGAAATCCCAGTCCAACCGTTCCCCAGCCCTCCGAACTGGAAGGGCTCCTGGGAAGCCAGGTTCCTTGACTGGAAGGTGGAGAAAAGGGCGGAGCCGCCACCTACCAACTTCTAGAGAACTCTTGGCGGTGCGGCGCCTTCCCGCGCGGATACTCACATGTTACCTAGAAACTTTTCATCTGCTTGTTTCTCCTTCAAAATTAAAAGTAAAAAAGACCAGAAACTTCCTATAATTCAAATATTTATGATGTTAAGGAGAGATGAATGTTTGTAAATTTTGAAATTTATTTTCTCAATTTCTTTATAGTTAACAGTACTTAAAAATATCATGAAATAGTAAATTCAAAGGTATAATCTTCAGGATAGTTTCCCTATCGTGTTCTTCCCATATGTGTTCCACAGATCTAAGTCTTTATTGGTTGTAATTTGGATTTTTGGCTTTACTTTTTATGGCTTCCATCTTTCTTGATATTCCTCATTCTGGAAATTCTTCTATATTTTACATATGTTTTTAAAATCACCTTTATTTTTTAATATCCTGGGACTTTTAAAATGTTTTACTTTTTCTTTTTTCTACTTCCAACAAGAATTTATTTGTTCTATCACTAAATTGATCCTACTCTGTTTTCTTTCAGGTTTGTAATATTTCCCGGTATTTCACTGAAAATAATTACAGCTGTGTTCTATTCCTCTGTTTCATGTAAGAATTTTTCTATAATATATACAAATGTAAAACATTGCATTGTTTCCCATAAATACATACAAGCATTATTGTCTGTTAATTTTTATTTAAAAAAGTAATCTATTATCGGCTTTTTTCTTTTAAAATGCAGAATTCTTCAATGTGTGGAATTCCTTTCCTTTTAACTCATTCGTCATTCTTTATGATCGCCCAAACTTCAAGGACAAGCAGTGTGGGAGTTCATTTTAAAATCTAGTTTGTGCTTAGGGCTGAAATAATTTAGCATCAGAGCAGAAAACTTGGAATGAGAAGAAAAGAAAGTTCACTCAGAAAGTTGCAACAGATTTTTGAACTGCGCAATCAAAGTTGATTTTCCCAATCAAAGACAGGAGAGGGGTTAAACTAGGTGACATTCATGAAGGTCAATTCAATTGTGTTGATGGTCGTGGAATGAACTAGAATCCGCTTCTCCCTGTGGCTACACAATCAGCCTTCTCTCCCACCATTTCTTTCCACCTTCTAGGGCTTGATCTTTATTCCCACTCCTTCCAATAAATCATTTCTCCAAGTCTGCAACCCTGCCTAAAAAGCCTTCAAAAAATCCTCCACTTCCCTATGAGGAAGCCAGGAACACTTACCCTGACCCTAAGCACACCTGACCTGCATGGTGCTCTCCTCCAGCCCACCTGTTCCCTTCTCCCCCAGGTTTTGCTCATTCTAATCCTAACAGATTTCAACCCAACCTCTGTCCATTTCCATCCCATTTCAATCCAACTTTTTCCATTTCTCTTGCATTTCAGGGTATCCCCATGTGGTCCCTCTCCCTCCACACCACATTGGTCCCTTCTTCTGACTTCCACCTACCCTGTGCTGCGTGGTTTCAAATGCCTGCTCCTCATGGAAGCTCTCTCTGCCCACCATTCAAATATTCACTCCTCTTGCTCCATTGCCCCCCATGCTTGTGTAGTTTATGGGGTAATTCCTGCCTAACAGATATCTCCCTACACTAGTCTATTAAATGCCAAAAGTATTATCACTATGCTTATCTAGTTCTTTACTCTGCTACCTCATAAGTTACACACACAAAAAAACACATTAACACAATTCTCATGAAAGATAAGTGTAGTCCTTGTCATTTCTGGGTTAGCCGTGAGCGAGTGTATCATTGTGAGTGTGTAACAGGAAAGGAGACACTTGGTACTTATCCGAGCACCAAGAAGGGAGAATCCTTAAACTACACTCCAGGGTGGCAAGCCCAGAAATCACCTGGGGATTCTTGGCCCCCAAAGGTTGCCAGTGTGAATGAGACCAACTAATAAGGTTATGCCAGCTAAATTCTTTTTCCTCTCTGCACCAGGAAGACTGCCCCTCCAGTTGTGTTATAGCTTGCCTGTCAATGTCCCCACAAAGGCTCATGTGCTCATCAGCGGGGCTTTTCAGATGTGGCTCAATTAGGGGTGCATTATAATTGGATTAGTCCACTGACTGAATTAGTGTGGTCCTGGGTGTGGCTGGATAAATTCACTGAAACCTCATTCTGGGTGTGAATGGCATCAACTAATAGTGGTAGCTTGGAAGGACTATAAAGTGAATGGCAGGCTCAATGCTTGCGTTTCCTGCCTACCCTGCCAAGGACTGTCTCTCCTTGGTGATCTCCCTCTGCCATACTGTTCTGCCTTGGAGTCAGCCAATTATGGATTGAAACCTTTACAAACTGTGAGCTAAAATAAATCTTTCCTCCTTTAATTTGTGCGTTTCAGGTATTTTGTCCCATCAAGAAGAAAGCAAACAGGACGAATGGGGTTCCTCAGTCATGAGTTTCATGGCTCCCTAATCCTACCATGGACTTTCTTAGCAAACAGTTAAGGGATGGTAATGAGAATAATATGGGGACATTATGTGTAATTGTTGGGGTTGAAACTTTATACTCTTTTACTACAATTTTTACTACAAAATTAAGTTTTGAAAAATTGAATAAAAATAAAAGATGCAGAGAAAGTGCTAGATTCAGCTGCATAACAGTAGGAAAAAATTGAAGTATTTATCAGGAATATTACCCAATGATGAATGAACTAATAATGTAATAATAATATTTTATCACTATTTAGAGTCAAGAGTCTTCATCTTCATATTACATTCTTGGCCATTTCTTCCCTGGCCTTCTTGTATTCATGCAATAAATATTTACTGAATATCTATCTGGTGTTAAGTATTGTCCTAGGCTAGTAAAAAACAAACATTTCCTGCTCTCAGGAGGCATACTGGCTATTAAGGAAAGCAGTCAGTAAATATGTATTGTGATTATTTCAAGTAAGAAATTCATATTATTAATTTTATGGTAGTATTGCAAATCAGTTTTGATGAAATTAGAGTGTAAAAAAGAATTCTGCCTTTCACCAAGCATTTGTGAGCCAGATATTACAACAGGTGTTTCCATGAATTTTCCGTGAATTTTTTGATTTTCTCAACAATCTCTAAGGCAACTTTTATTACTAGCATTTGTAACTAGCACAGAAGCTGCAGGTAACGACGTTTAAATGAAGGTTGATGATACTGACATACACTGCAGATCTAGTAAATAGTTTTGAATTCAACAATAACAACAACAACATCAACAGCAGCACCCTTCATTGTTCCACCAAAGTATAGACTTAGATCTAATACGTGAATGATTTGCTAATTGTTGCTTTTGGGGGTGGGGGCAGGGCCTCACTATGTAGTTGAGACTGACCTGGAACTCACTATGTAGCCCAGGCTGGTCTTGAACTCACAGTGATCCTCCTGCCTCAGCCTCCCAAATGCTGGGATTACAGGCATATGCCACCATACCCAGCCTGTTGCTTTAAAATTATGTCCCAAATCTCAGAAAAGAGGTGAGAGAGAACATACGTATTTATGCACCATGGAGTACTATGCTGCCATAAAGAAAGATAAATTTGAGGCATTTGTAGGGAAATGGATGGACCTTGAGACTGTATTGTTAAGTAAAATAAACCAGACACAGAAGCTTCAATATTGGATAATTTCGCCTATGTGAGAAAGCCAAAGTATAAAGAGCAAAATAAAAGATAGATAATAGAAAATAAGGCAATAGCTCTCTTAAGAAAGGGAAGCAGACCAAAAGATGGAGGGAGCGGAAGGGAAAGGGATGAAAAAAGAATTAAGATGTGCTGTGTACTCATACCAACTCCCTACAAAGAATGCAATGATCATTATTTACTGCAAACATGTATTAATAATAATTATTATTATAATAATAAAAGAACAGGGTGGAAGAAGCAAGACATACAAACAGTGAGATTGTCGGGGTGGAGGGAGGAATCCACTGTACGAGCAGAGTAACGCCTGCCCAAGCCTGGGTGATGATCCAGCTCCCCTGCCGAGCCCCAGCTGTGCCCCACAGAGCCACGCAGCACCTCAGGGACCGGCAGAGCCCCGCCGTACCTCCTCGCTGCTGCTGGACTCGGAAGTGTGGGACCAGCGGCAGTGAGCCCACACCTGCTGCGCCTGCTCGCCCAGCATCCTCACGGTGCTTCTACAGGCAGCGGTTTGCTGGAAGAGACAAGGCCGGGAATTACTTCTCCAGAATCCGCAGCAGGGGCCTGCACCTGTGCCACATGGTGTGCAGTCGTTGGGGCTGGAAAACACGATGCAGAGAGGGAGAATTTACGGGGAACTTCCATGTGCCAGCATGAAAACTTTCTAAGACCGAAAGCAGAAATAGATGAAATATGTAAACATCTCTGAGACGTCTGCTACATTACAAGTCTCCGGGAAACAACACGCTCCCCTTCATGAGCACTGAGTTGGGCCGCTTTCTGCAGTACATTTTCATTTGAACAACAACAAACGGTAAAGAGTTCGCAGAACTCTGCCCTCAGATTTTTCCCAGGAACGGATGCTTGCCACCTTTTGGTTTGGGTTTTTGGTAAAAACAAGACTCATAACGAAAATTTCATGAAATAAATAACAATGCTGTCGGAAGTGACAGGGCGCTGCTGAAGTCACGCATATGAATGGGAACCCCAGGGTAAGCAGAGTGGCGATGGACGACGTTTTGCTGTTCAGAGATGGTTCCTGCCCGCAGGGGCTGACCTCGTGTCGAGGCCCATTCTGGTCTCGCAGGATTCAGTGTGACCTTGCCATGTGCCTGACCCATGGAGCCTAAACTGGGAGGGAACACATACCACGCAGCAGTCACTACAAAACAACACGGCCTGTCCCAGGAAAAGTTTGCATTGGACATTCACTTATAGCACGAATCGAAAAGTATTTCCTTCCGTGTTGGCGTCTCTGTGCTCACTTTACCTGATACAAATGCGTCCCCGTTCTACGATAGCTATCATTTTTGTTTCTTTTTCTATCAGTATATGTTTGTAACCCCTACTAATTACAATCACCTTGGGGAATGGGTGCAAATCCGCATCTTAATCACTCTCACTTCCCATCCCCTCCCTCCCATCTTCCCCACCCCAGACCCCTTCATCCTCATTTTAACAGGAAACTGAGGCACGAAGGGCTAAAGAATTCCCCAGGATCCCTCAGGACCGCAGATCCTGCAGCTCAAGGGCTCGTGTTTCTACCACCATCCTGTGCTGGGACCCTGCGAGGACTTGGGCTGCGGCTGGATCACAGCCAGGCAGCAGCCACCCTCTGTCTGCCTTTCCAGCTGTGGTCTGGAAGGAGCAACGCCCTTTCCACGTTTGCTTCAGGGCTGAGGTCCTTTTCCGCCACACTCACCACGTAGTAGCCCCTCTGGAAGGCACACGTAGATGGGTCTTCTCCGGAGTCTTTCAAGCATGTAGTTTCCCCAACACTGAACTCTAAGCTCATGATCACGCTGTCCTCATCCAGAACATTCACCTTCACAAAACAAAGTGTCAGCTCAGGTGAGACGCATTTCTGAAGTTCACGGAGCTGGGCGTGGTTCCCTCTGCCCAACCACGAACATTTACAGAAGCTGAATGTCACATTAGCCATCGCCTTGCTTCCATGCCCTCAATCTGAAGTCCAGAGAGAAAAAGGGACTTAGAATAGTCACACAGTTTAAAACACTGATAAAGAGAAAACCAAAACTTGGGCTAGCGTTTCTTCTGAAGATTTTCATTGACAACTGATCCTCAGAATTCAAGAATTTCTCCCCGCAAAACCTGCCTACTTGCTAAACTTTATTGGATGTCCAAAATTAATGCTAGCTGGTATGCTCTTGCTGCCGTTTGTGCACCAGTGTAGAGTAGGAAAATACCTGAGTCACCCAGTATGTGTCTCCCAACTGAGGTCAGACAAGGCGGAGCTCTGTTTTCCTATTTCAGCTCTCAAGTGTGAATAACTATGCCTTTTATGGCTTATTTCCTGGCAGAGGCTTTGTATTTTTTATGCTTTTTGTGGGTAAATTTGCTGCCCAAAATTCTGAAGGACAAACAACTGTGATGTTGGGAAAATATTGGTATATGTGACAGACAAGCTTCGTTTAGGTAGGAATTATCATGTCCTTGGCAGTGGGTTCAATGTTAATGAATTTACACTATGTATTAAATGAGGTATCTTCAAACAGGGACTAACAAAAAAGAAAATAAGGTTATATATTAACAAGTCAACAAAAATATAACCCAGAACTTGCAAGAGTTTAACCCTGTATTTCCCCTAGGGACAACGATTCAGTATTTGCAAATTCAATGTTTATGGTAATTTTATAAAACATAATTTCTACCAATAACAAGAATCAACTGTATGGGTTTTTGAGTAATTAGGCAGCAGGCACATCACATAGCGTCATCCAACCTTGGCTTGGGTTTGCACAATTCTCAAAATTGAATAAATTCCCATGGTTTTCTGTTTCTCTTCACCAAGGGTGGATACTGAGGGAACCGACCAAACTTCCTGACAAACCTGAGAGGTTCTGATAACGAGGCAGCAGTGTGATTCACAGAGATTTTGCTGCACATACAGGGCCAGAGGCCACTCTGGAAAGATGCCATGTGGCTCAGAGACCACAGAGTAGACTCTTTAAACAACCTGAACAAGAGGGCTGTAGATGGTTACAGCGCTCGGAGGAATAACAGCATATGGTCAGGGCAGTGGGGACGAAGTAGCCACTTTAGACAAAGTGTCAGGAAAGCCCTCCAGGAGAAGGAAAAGGGAACCTGAGCCTTGAGGATGGGAAGGAGCTGTCACAGGAGGAAAAGCAGAGCCAGCTTTTCTCTAGAGCAGGCTGAGCCTGACTCGTGGGGCTGGAGCAGCATGAACCAGGGTGGATCCATTCACCATGATGTTGGAGAGATGGAGTGCCTGGCCGCTGATGCTCCCGCAGCCCATGGATAGGTGTTTAGATAGAAAAGACATCTGTCTTTTTCGCAAAAACTTGTGTGGTCACACTTAGTATATTCTTCTGAATAGGTCTTTGTATTCTTTCTAGGACCAGGCTGAGCATTTTGTGAGTTTTTCTGTTCTATTTCCCTTTTAATTATAAACTCCATCCTCAAATCCATTCTCTCTTCTCTCATCTTCCTGTAGGTGCCCAAAAGAAGGAATGCAGCACCTGGTGTGCTTTGCTGTTTAGTTGGTCCCTGGAATTCCCTTAGGAAATGGCCAAAGTCTTTGTGACTGTATAACCTGGGTGATTTTCACTCTGATTTCTAGTTGCTTGTCTCTTACACTTATGTGAGACCTCATAAGAACAGCCTTCACTGTTCATATTTCCACCAACTTTCTACTTACAATCACTTACATAAGCCCTAAGAAGATGCAGGCTCTCTCAACCATTCCTGTCTTCTTTCCATTGATGGAAACCTAGACTTTTTCTAAGGTGCTTCTCCAAATTCTTCTATTCTCTATCCGTTACCCAGTTTTAAAGTTGCTTCTACATTTTAAGGTATTTGTTATAACAACAGCCTCACATCTCAGTGCTAACTTTCTGTCTTAGCATATTCTATTCCAGAATATCTAGAAATGGAACAAGGTTTATTTCTTGTGGTTCTGGAGGCTGAGAACTGAATTAGATAAGGACTTTCTTGCTGTATAATAGCATGGAAGAAGACATCCTATGGCAAAGAACACAAGAGGGGGGATAGGCACCAAACTCACCCATTTACCAGGAATCCACTCTTGCAGAAATCTATTTATGATGATAGAGTCTTTATAATCTGATTACCTCTTAAAGTTCTCACTTCTCAACCCTTATGCTGAGGGTTAAATTTCTAGCACATGAACTTCAGAGAACACACTCAGATACATCAATATGTGTACACACACACACACACACACACACACACACTGCACTGGTTCTACTTTTCTGGAGAACCCCCACTAGTATAGTGATCATATAGGTTTTTCAAACGAATTGCTTATTAATAGAGAGCAAAGACAGAAATAGCTGACTATGCATAATTGTGAAAAACAAAACCATAGAAGTAGGATAAAAGGCAGAATTGGACAACAAATGGGCATGGATATATGAAGGATACCAATTTCCCATTTTTGCCTCAAGGTATATCCTGATTCCATCATTCCCTACATCTTCCAGCTCCCAATGTGGGAATCAGCTACTATCACTGCTGCCATTGTCTGGGTGAGTCCCTGAGCATAACCCGAAATAAACTTTTCTCTATAGATTACTCAGCCTCAAGTTTTCTGTTATAGCATCAGACAATGGACTGCTAAATTTTGAATGTACTCTCCAAAAGTTCACATATATTCAAAACTTGGTCCCCAGCACAGGAGTATTGGAAGGTGAGAACTCTTTGCTTGGATAATGAGAAGTATACCATGTCGAGTAGATCAATCCCTTGATGAATGGGCAATCATTGGAGCGGCTTTATCAAAAAAAAGTGAACTCTCTCTGGCATATTTGCTCTCTTTTGCTATGTGGTGTCTTCTACCACTTTAGGGAACAACAAGAAGTCCTTCACTAGAAGTTCAGTAGGTGCTGGCACCATGCGCTTGGACTTCTCATGCTGTGGGATCATGAGCTAAACAAACTATTTTCCTTATAAATCACTAGGTCTTGGGTATTTTGCTATAGCAACAAAAATGGATTAACACACCACCTAAGACAACTGCCTACCTGAATTCCACACCAGCATCTTACTAGTCTTGACTTCTTCCCTTCAACCTAACTCCACCCAGAAAATAGATCGCTTGCAATAAACTGAATACCTCACCACCACCACTCAATCTATGTGTTGAAACCCCAGTCCCAGAACGATGGCATTTGGAAGTGGACTCCTTGGGGTAATTACATCTTGAGGATGGAGCACTCATGATGGGACTAGTGGCCTTAAAAGAAGAGGGCCAGAGATTTCTCTCTCTCTCTCTCTCTCTCTCTCTCTCTCTCTCTCTCTCTGCCATGTGAGGATAATGAAGAGATGTGGCTTTCTACAACCTACACGGTTGTTCTCACCAGAACCTGGCATTCTCACAGTCTGATCTGAAGCTCCATCCACTAGAGCTATGAGAAATAAACCCCACTTGTTCATAAATCACCCACTCTGCAGGACATTGTTATAGCAGCCTATTCTACTGAGACAGACATGCCTGTTTAAAATCTCTCCAAGGACAACCTATTGCCCTAACTCCTCAAGATCACGACCTATGTACATTCTAACTCGTGCCCATCTCTCTGACCTCACTCCATTCCTATCCTTCTTCCTCTGGTTAAGAGGGCTCTAGACATCCTTTGTCTTAATTACTTTTGTCCTCTGGGGTTCTCCCAGTGGCTTCACTCTGCATTTCCCATTCTTCCTCTCAAAATATCTTCGCATGGCTGAAATGTCTTCTCATTCCAGGAAGTCTTAGCTCAAATATGACATCCTTGGTGGAGGTTTCCTCGTCTGATTGCTGCCCCAGCCTAAGCAATCCATCTGCCAACCTGTTTTACCTTCTACATTTCATCTGCCACTATCTAAAATAAACTTTTTAGTCATTTATTTTTGCCCTCTCTGTGATAGTTAGGATGGACTGTCAACTTGATTGCCTTGTGAGCTACCAGGGGATTACCAAATCATAGTTCTGAGAGTGTCTGTGTGGGTTATGACATTGCCTGTCAGCAGATCTTCACACCTATCAGGATAGAGAGTCTAGGTGCATTTAGGGACATCCACAGGGTGTTTGTAGAAGATATGGCTAACATAAAGCAAAATGTGAAACACTGCTGAGATGAAACCTTTTACCAGGAAAGATTAAAGGAGGGTGGTCCTCTTAGAATGGAGGGACTACCTGGCGGTTAGAGCATGGTGAATGTTGCTTGACAGATGATTTGGAATAATCAGAAAAGGCTGCAGAGAAGCAAAAACTGGCAGACTTCCAAGTGGGGAAGCAACACACTCAAAGCAGAGAAGCATCACATATGTATGTATCTATAAGTTTTTCTCACTTTACCAGTGACTGTGTGCAGCTTTAGATGCACAGTTATGGCCTCAGGTCTGTCTGGCTATACTAAAATGGTCCACATGCAAGAGTATGCCCCAGGTAGCTATGCCACATACTGTCTTATCTCCCTGGGCCAGATTGCCACGGTGCCCCTCATTAGCTCTCGCGGGACTGTTTCTCATGCTCTTATTCATTTAATCAACCACTAATTTTGTCCTGTAGAAAGCAATGGCTAAGTTACAAAGTTAAGCTGTGTGCAAACTTGGCAAAAAGATATGGATTCCACAATACTACAAGATATCATTAAATGCCAGTGAAAATCATTTGATTGCCAGTGCAAGCAGTATAGAAAGCAAAGCACTGTGCACCCTGACCTTGGACTCTCCCAGAAGCAGCTCAGTCTCTGGCTTGGCAGCTAACCAAACTGGCCCTGCAGTGATATCCCCACCACAACATCCAAGTCTAAGCAGCACCCAAGACTGATCATGTCCCAGGCAGGGTGACCAACTAAGGCATAGCCCATGGACCTATGACCAACTAGAAAAGGTAACCGACACAACCGTCAACTTGCTCAGCATTGAGCAAACAGAAACAGAGCCCCATTTCTGCAGAAGAAGATCAAGATAAACATGCTATATCTAGAGAGCAGGGCTGGGAAACCATGAATCATGATGTAAGGAGTAGCTGGGGGGATAAGCCAAGTGTGAGCTGAAGAGGGACCAGGGCAGGGAGGGAACAACGGCAGAGATAACAGCTGCTGCCTGGATTCTTGGGCAGTCTCCTTTCTCTTTCCGGTTCCCAGGCAGCCTGGTTCTCCCTTCTCATTCCCAGGCCAGGTCAGGCACCGGTACTGAACCTCCCACACCTCACACCCTCACCCGAATGCTTGAGGGTATTTCTGTTCCTGCCCCCCCAGCCCCATTAAGGTGATAACTAGGCAGTGAGATCCCTTGGGGAACAAGAAGGAGCTAGAGAAGCTTTACTGCCTCGTTTTCTCATTTCCTCTAGATTCTATATCTGTAAATGTGATTCTACACTTCCCCCTTGCTTTTCACAGACTGAATCATTGGAAGCCCCTGAAATTCTTCTTTCCTTAGCGCTGCAGGCAATCAGGAAATAGAATATTACCGAACTGACAACGAAGGTGGCGTTCTTTGGCTCAGCGGCCAGAATCTATTTCCTCTAAGTAGTCAGAGCAGAGCTGCCGGATTGGAAGGGAGGCTCATTTCCAACAAATGAGCAGTTCTTAATAAAACACCACCAGAGAAGCCGTGAGGGTTTCAGGTCCAGAGGCAGAATGCAGAGAAAGAGAAGACAAGGTCAGAGGGAAGGACACTGCAGAAGAGCCAGACATCCAAAGTATCTTTGACAGCCTCAGGACAAGAGTTACAATAAATCCTTTCTCTGCCCAAAAGCATGCGTCAGTGGGAAAGAGAGGACTTACTGTTATCTTTTAAACTGGAAAAAATTAATTTAAAAAAAGGACTCTATCCAATGAATGAACTGAAGAGAAGACAGAAAGTACAAAGAAGAGTAAAGGAGGTCTCGTCACTCACTTACTCTTTTTAATGAGTTCCTGAATGCCCGGAACAGATAGGGGCTCAGCGACTGAGAGTTCACTTTTGCCACGGAGGCACTGAGGGCTTCACGTAGGGAAGAAGGGTCGTAGTCAAACACGGGGAAGCCTGGACACAAGCACAGGGCCACAGGGAGATGAGACACCTGCCAGGACCACGGAGATCCCAAAAGCAGGTGGCCCCGTCCTCAGGTTCCTTACCTGAGCAGTAGTTCATTCCAAGGGCAAATATAACCAATGTCATCATCACTCTCTTCTCCATTGTCAGAAGAATAATTTTCATTCAGAGCCCAGGAAATTGTCTCTCCGTGGCTTTAAGGTGACAATTTTCCTCCAAGAGCTGCTGATTTAATCAAATATGGTCTGGTTGCTCTCTCCGATCGGGACAGTCTGGAACTTACAAAGAATTGATCCTGGGGTCAATATTTACTGCTGACTTTTTCTGTGGAAAAGTTCCAGTTTCAGGGAACTTTTGAAGTTTAGATTTCACCGGGGGACTTTAGCCCGTGGCAAATGGCATCAAGAGGGTCAGGGATCCATGTGTGTTGTTTATTTTCTCTTTTTAATTTCATTCTTTTGCGGGGGGGGGGTGGCGTATTCCACAAAGCGGTCATTTTCAGCTTTTGCCTATTCTGACCCTCTCATGGTACTCCCAGTGTACTATTTCTGAAAATAAAATGGGTATTGTGAGATTTGTTTTAGAGGTGATGATTTCAGAGGGGAGGATTTTATGGGGGTTTTAAACACTCCAAGCAGAGCACAGGTGAAGTAAGAAGTTGTAACACAATTCTGCTACTGGCACTCCTGCTAGTGAACATCTTGTATATGACGGGGGTCAGCTGGTGTTTACATGTTGACGGTTCTTGTGCACTGTACAAACCCAAAGTAAGTTGTGAATTGCTAGAAAGAGAAATGTTTTATAGGAAACACCGTGTATTTTGCATATAGGTTGTTGTGTGTTTATTCATCAAATCAATATGCAAGACTGTGTAGCGGCTCAGAAAGGCTGGCCCTGGAAGCTAGGCTGTGCTACGTACTCACGAGTGTGGGTCCTTGGTCACAGTGCTGAACACCTTGGCAACCCAACATCCTCATCTGTAAAATGAGCACAAAAGGACAGGTGTCAGAGTTCTGCAACAAAAGAGAGCTAACAAGATGAGTGGAGGGAAGGAGAGAGATGTATTTTACGGAAATGGCTTTGGAGGCCTGGGAAGAGCTGTGGTCCAGTATCAAGTCCAGCCACTGGCAGAATGCCTTCCTGCTGCTCAGCCTCTCTCTGCTGAGGCCTCCAGCTGGTTTAGTGAGGCCCCCACACACAATGAGGTCGGCTGCTTTACCCAAAGCCTGTTGATGAAAACATTTAGAATAGTGTTTGGTGAAATGTCCAGGTACCAAGAAATGTGCCTGGCCAAGATGATACATCACATGAGGATTGAATAAGAAGCCTTCAGCCGATGATTTGGAAAATGTATCAGTCAGCTTTTCATCACTGGAGTCAAATTCCTGATGTACACGACTTAAAGGGCAAAGGTTTATTTTTGCTCATGGTTTCAGAGGATTCAGTCCATGGCTGACTGGTTCCGAGTCAAAATTGTCGTGATAGAGGTGCATGGTGAAGGAAGGTGCTCACTCCAGAGTGGCTGGAGATAGAGAAGAGGATCAGTGCCAGACAGGAAGGGGCCACATACATAATCCAAGGTGACACTTCCTGACCCACCCAGGCACACTCAGAAGTGTGTTATACTAATCCCCTGCATGGCTCTCGAACCAATCAGGTTGACAATGCTGGTTAACTGTCACATCAATGAATGCCTCAATAAACAGGAACTACTAGTAAGAATTCAGTGCATACTTTTTGGTGTCCGCTATGTGTGAGGAAACAGATCTAGAGAATACCTTGATTGAATTAGCACTCTTGCTCACCCTGTGTGTAAAAATCAAATGAAAGCATCAGCCAAAGAGGTCTCAATCCCTGTGAGAATTCAGACAGGGCCTGGAGAAAGACTCCAGAGGATGATTGGCAGGAGCTCGTGAGTCTTTCCCCTCAGCCTTGATGGTCACAAACTCATCCAACAGTAGAGAAAGGAACTTAGCCTAGGAAAAAGAACAGAAGGGGACAGCTAGGGGAGGGGATCGTCGCATTTGCCCAAGGGTATGGTGTGGTGCAGTAATGTTCTCCAGGAGTCAGCCCGTAAGAAGGAAGAGACCTAAATGTGGTGGGTACATCCTCCAATAATGGCTGTAGTGTCAAAGATAAATTACTGCCATGAATACAAGGTAACTGAACTCCTGCCTTGGTGTTGCCTGCTTCCAGTGTCACTGCCCCTCAATACATCCTTTAGCCAAGCAAAATCATGTTTCTGATGACTTCACTCACTGAGCAAACCATGAAGCTCCCATTCATTGCCTTGACCCACACATGCTTTTTCTGTAAGTTATCCGTCAGCACTTTGGCACAAAGGTATGTTTGAAATCCCAAGATAAAGTGAGTGTCTAAATGCCCATTTGTTCACTCAACCACAGCTCCAGCCCAGCAGCGTCTGGCTGCTCTTCAATTCCCCTCTCGGACCATCCTTCCTCTCTTCAGATTCCAGCGCTCTGGGGTCTGTCCCTACAGGGCTCCTGCATTGAAGGCTTGATGCTCTGCTCTGCAAAACTGGAAGGGATGGAGACCTTAAAAGGCAGGCCTTGTGGGATGGTTCAGGTCACTGGGGCTTCCCTCCAAGGACTCTGAAAGTCCCAGGCTCTTCCCTGTCCTTCTTTCTCCTCCTTATCTGGCCAGGAGGTGAATGGTCTGCTCCACTGTGCCCTCCCAACATGGGATACTGAGCCACCACAGGCCTAGAGCCACAAGGCAGGCCAATCCTACACTGAGACCTCCAAAATTGTGAGAGAAATAACCCTTTCATCTTTATAAATGGATCACCTCTGGTATTTTGTTACAGTGATGAAAAGCCAATGAACACAGACGCCAAATGGCTTCCACTCCAAGGCCTTTGTATTTGTTATTCCTTTAGACAATAAAAATGGCATTCTTCTTCTCACTGTCCCCAGGGTCAGCTTCTTACATGATTCACATTGTAGCCTAAATAGACCTCTTCAGAGAGACACGTGGACCAATCTCCTGCCTCAATTTCCCTTCCACTGACCCCTCCCCACGGCTCTGTGCTTCCTGTCTTCCTGGCGTTGATCACACATGCATAGAAATCCTGCTGTTTGTTTGTGACTGACTTTCTCCTCCAGTAGACCACAAGCTCCATGAGGCGGGGACTGTGCCTCTTTGGTCTATGTCCCTCTGAGACACCCAAACGGGAATACAAGGAAATACTTACAGAATGAGACGGGAAGTGAACCCACAGGGCACCGCGGAAGTCATTTCTGCGTCCTTCTGCTTGAGGGTGGCACTAATTGCTGTCGTGTAACAGGTACATTGGGAAGTGTGGGAGGAGGCGGGGACCCCTGAAAGTTGTAATGCTGTCACTTGTAACCTGATCCAAACTCAATTCCTCTCTAGTCATCCAGATTTAACTAATGGAACCAGCTGGCTCCAAACTCCGTGGCCTCATTAAATGAACAGCAGTAATAAAAGTAATTGTAAAAGAGTGAGGGAGATTAAAGAGACAACAATAAAATAATGTTGCCAGCACAGGGCTATTGGTTTTGTTTGCACCATGCTAGAGTGGGGTTACAGCTCTGTATTGCTCAGATTCTCCTGGCTGCCATTCAGTGTTAGCTCCAGGCACTCAGGGCAAGCCCTGATTAGTGCTCAGAAGCAATGACTTAAAACTTCCTCTGCAGAGTTCCGTTATGTCTAGTAAACCCATAAGATTAAACATAAGCCATCCATTGCAATGCAGGCCATAATGATTTCTTTCACTATTCTTTCTCCATTCTGCAGAAATGTGTACGGCATTGATTCCTGCAGTTTTCTGCTGTTCTGACAAAAATCATCTACTTAAACTATTAAAAATTATGTGGCACTAATGAAAAGTGCTATATGCCTTTTTAATGTAGCCCATGGACATTTATATAAAATTCATCACAGAAAGCTTAACAACAGGAATTGGGAACACATGGAATAAAAAGATAGGTGAGCTGCCGCAGCATGGACTAGAATCATTACAGTCCTATCATTTCCTTTGGGATTGTTTCATTTCATTTCGGTCATCTCTGCAATAATGTTATTTGAGAAAAATCACTAAATCCAGAGCAAACACATACCAAATCTTCATCTAACACATAAACCACAGTTTTGTACCCACTTTCCAATCCCTTAGCATGATTTCTAAACTCCCGATTGTCACTGTCAAGATTTACCTTGATGGCCTAGAGTTGTGCCTTTTCCGTGTTCTGAAATGTCAATATCGCTGTTGGGTTTATTCTGTTAGGAGATGTCATGTTTACCTACACAGCAGAGACCTGAAGAGCAGGAGCTCCTAGAGGGAGGAAATGAGAATACTCATATGATCTCCAGCACTGCCCAGAACTGATATGCCAAGATCTAGAGAGACCTAGCTGCCTGTGCTTTACAAGCTCTGATGGGAATCTGAGAAGCAAAGACCAAGAACAAGGGTTCAGAGCCTGGGTGACTTTGCCCACCAGGGCATTTGGAAATGTCCATGGACACTTCTGGTTGTCATAGCTACAGGAGAGGATGTGACCGGTACATGATGGACAGAAGCCAGAGGTGTTTCTGGGCATCCTACTGAACACAGGTCAGCTCCATGACAAAGGGTCAGCTGCTCCCAAACACCTTGATGCATGAAATCCAGAGGCTGGCCTAGTTTCTCAGAACTAGGAGAAACAAAGAAAATAACAGGTCTGCGATCCAGTAAATCCAGGGATCCCTAGAGGAGGAAAAAGGGAACCAGTTATTTCACTCAGGAACTGTGGGTCAGGGACAGGCTAATGTGCACAGTGAATCTTAACACAGTTGCTGGGAACCCTTACTTGTTGTTGAGCAGAAGGGACTAGATTACACCTTGAGGCTAGAAGCATGGCTTCCACCCTGGGGACATCTTCCTGATGATCATTAAGGTGCACCTCTACGCCAAAAAGATGTTTAAGTCATATCATTACCAAAGCGAAGATGGGGACTCAACCTGGCTTGGGAGGTCCTTGATATCACAGAAAAGCATTTTAGGATACATCAGGAGTTGCACAGGCAGATTTATTAGACAGAGTTGGAAGGTGAAAGAAAATGGGAAAGGGCTTCAGCTTGAGGAGCAAAAGGAACCACAATAGAGATCACTGTGTACCTGCCACAAAAGAACGAGGCTGCTTTTTATAGTGGGGCTGAGGAGGTCCGGGGTCTGGCTGGTCCCTGGATAAGGTCTGGTTTTGCATGATGGCTGTGGAAGAAATCCTTACTGCTTGTGAGGGTGATTTGTCCTCCAAGAGATGATGGTCTC